TTTTCTTTTTTCCAACCTTCAACAGAAATATACGATTGTTCATGTGTTTGGGCATCAAGCCAAGCTGTTGGTGATACAGCGCGCTTAGGTCACGTTGTTGATTCCCTTTTAGCCGACGGGCTGTCCTTACGCGCGCTCCCGTGGGGCGCCTTGAGCGGGAGATTTGCAGTCGATCTGTGCGTACGCTGCCTCCCCTCGTGGCAAGCCTGAAACGTCGGTAATGCGTGGTGAACTGTGGTTTTCACCTGGGATTGTCTACTTGGGCAGAATGTAACCTAGGCGATGCGTTGTAAGGGAGACCTTCCGTGACCACGCAGTACTACGGCTAAAGCTGCCTCACTAAACAAAGGGTTGCGAATCCGAGAATTTTGTCTTGCATTTAGGGTTTGCAAAAAGGAATGCACTTTTGTTGTAGGGGGGTTTGGGGCCATCTGCCGCAGACACCGTCTTGCTCTTCGACTTGTCGACCCCTGAGGGTAGATCCACTCTGTTGGAAAATTACGTTTCCTGGATGGGAACCGATAGCGATTGGATGCCGTGCATGAGCGCTACAAAGGGAAGACACTCATCACACCAATATCACGTCGAGTGTAGCGCGTGCTGCCGTGTGTTCCAGCCTTATACGCCCCATAGCTGCGAGTCATGATAGTCGTTATGAAACGCTCCACCACTTATTTCCTTTTTCGATCCAGCTCACTGGCCACAATCATTGGGCCCACTCATGACGCAAGGATGGTGTGCACCTTTTTCCCGAAGTTCGTAAAGAAAGTTCATAAATTATCGCTGACAGCCGTGGTGTTGTCGTTGTCATTTACTTGTAACACACAATGGGGATCCCAGTTTTCGCCTTCCGCGACCCCGGTATACAGACGTGTGACTGACAGGCCGGGGTAAGTGCTTCGCTTGCATCATTTGTGTGACGAGCAGTAGCGTTGCCCATGGTCAAGCGATGTGGCAGACGATGCTGTTGTGCCACTAGAGCAGCGGCTGGACGCCGTTTTACGGGCTGGGAGATGCCGCAATCCACTTTCAAGAGCGGCAGACTAGCGCCACTGATACTAGTAATGGTGTGCTGCGAGATAGCGACCATTATTAGGAATTGCTCACAAATAAAGGGTTGTCTAGAATCGCGGGTTTGGTGACGAGATCCGCACGTCACGCCTGATTTGAAGATAGTGTGGGGGACCTTTGATCCGAGGAAGTGCTCCCTGCAAATCTCCTCCTACGATGGGTTATCACCAAATCTGCAGCATCGCTTCCAAGCCATCATTTTGTGGCTGCCAGCCGTTGGCCCGCCTACATGTGGATGAAAAGTTTGTTTGAGCCACACGGCTACAAGCGTTGCTGGTCCTGTCCAACATCTAACATCTCTTGCCGTTGATCGGTGTAGTAAACCTTCTCGGTGCGCGAAGCGCCCAAAAGAACGCCTCTAACTCTGTCTTGACAGCTCATGCATAGCGATGGTGTGCCAACGGGTTTGTCATCAATTGGAGTAATGTGACGAGAGGGCGATCATAGAAGGAACGGGTTGGTCCTCCGCGTTCTCAAGGATAGTGTCGGTCACCAAGAGCGCCTGTGTACCAACAATCGCGAGCGTAGCTGCCTCTGCAAAATACGGGTCGCATGGCCTTAACGACTGGAAAAGGGCCGGATAGCCTTGTCTTATATATGGGCAACTTCATTTCGATGTTGATCAAATTTGGCTGGTATTCATGCGCAACCAAAAGAGAAGGAGCTGCCTAGGTGAGAAATTCGATGGTAGCAGGGTTCAGTGTGAACTGCTGATAGAATGTGAGTATCACCAAATACATGAGTCAGGCAACACTCACTCGTTCTTCCTACATGATACACCCCTACGTTTGAAGAAGTCCTCTTCATGTGCCAACTGACCCGCCGCATTGATTGCCAAGGTTGGACCGAGGTATCTGCATGGATCGATAATGGCGGGGTAGGTAGGCCAACGTCATTATGAAAAAGCAAACGTCCTCTGCAGTTACTTCAACACATATCAAGTCTTTTGAGAACTAGAGAAGTGATCGCGTCTAAAATGGATACTCTTCGATGAACCAGCGGGGTCTGGGGGAAAGCTACGCGAAGGAGGGGCGAATGTGTGGATCTGGGGCAGTGTCGCGTGCCTGTGACTCGTCGACTGGATTGCCGCCTTCCTCATTCACAATTGGCGCCCGTGGCTGGCGTTTCGTTCGCCGTCCATCATGTCTTCATGTCATCGTCACCGACCTGCAACCCTCTATCATTCCTCCATGAAGCACTATGGTACAGGCATCGCTCTCCACCTCTCTTCAAAACGATGATAAATCGCTGCAGCAGCTCAACGAGCGCGAACCCGAGGCTGAATCATCTCTAAAAACCGGTGGTAAGACGGATGATACGCCAACTGTTCATCGCGGGGCAATTCGTGTTCCTTCCCCGGACCCATCCCTTGTATCAATAGACGATTCGAACATTATACGATTTGGTCAAAATCCAGACTATGCTCCTCTATACCATGACAGATATGCTTCACGCTTACCCACTCCTCCTCGTACCCTCAAAGGCAAAGTCCAAGCATCATGGACATCGAACAAGGGCCTCGCACTTGTTCTACTCGCTCAGCTATTCGGAACTCTGATGAATGTTACCACGAGAATACTAGAAATGGAAGGAAATAAGGGTATGAAGACCCTCCGGTAGCGATATCCGCATGTACTGACTGTCATAGGCAACGGATATCACCCATTTCAGATCTTATTCGCGAGGATGAGTATCACCGTGGCGTGCTCTTCTTTCTACATGTGGTACAAGAAGACAGAACATTTCCCTTTCGGAATGAAGGAAGTCCGCTCGTTGCTAGTTGCCAGAGGGCTGTTCGGCTTCTTTGGAGTCTTTGGAATGTACTGTAAGTTATGCAACGTCGATCAAGGAACCATATGGGTACAGTAACTCGTCTCAGCTCGTCAGATGCTCGGTCGCGCTTGAGGATTCTTGCTCACCCACTGCTGTGATGAACTCCACAGTACATCATATGGGCCCTCTCTGTATTTCATAGCGCTAACTATCATAGACTCCCTGCTGTACCTGCCTCTGGCCGATGCCACAGTCATTACGTTTCTGGCACCATCGCTCGCCTGCTGGGCATGCTCATATTTCATCAATGAGCCGTTCACCCGGATGGAACAGATCGCTGCTTACGTCTCGCTCTTTGGCGTTGTCCTTATCGCAAGACCCGTTACATTATTCTCTGCGCTGTCGCATTCCGACGCACCTATTCCTCCTGCCACTGGCGACTTAGATGCTCTTCTACCGAACACAACTGTATCTTCACCCGATCGTCTCGCCGCCGACTATGATTCGGTGACGCCAACGCAACGAGCAATGGCAGTAGGCATTGCAATGCTGGGTGTCATTGGAGCAGCAGGCGCATATACCACAATTCGATGGATCGGCAAGCGGGCACACCCGCTCATATCCGTTAACTACTTCGCAACATGGTGTACAATCGTCAGCGTAGTAGCAATGTTTACCATACCTGGTGTTGGGTTTCTGCTTCCGAACAGCCTGAGAGACTGGTGCTACCTAATCTTTCTGGGCGTCTGCGGTTTCGTAATGGTATGTCTGTTGCATAGTGCCGCCGTGTTATGCTTCTTGACTGACACCGCCTAGCAATTCCTCTTAGCCGCAGGCCTTCAATACGAGAAGTCATCTCGCGCAACAAACATGGTGTACATGCAAATGCTCTTCGCACTAGCATTTGACAAGCTGGTCTGGGGCACAACACCTGGCGCTTTATCCATAACTGGATCGTCGCTCATCCTTGGTTCGGCGATATACGTTGCGATGAACAAGGAGGCGCCGACGAAGAAAGTAGAGCCAATGGGAGGAGGAGACGACGAGGAAGAGAGGGGGTTGATATCGCCGGAATTCGAAGGTGAACAAATAGACGAAGAAGACGCAGACATACCGATGAGGCCACTGAGATGATGAAGAGACGTTCACATGGAGTGTTTGCAATAACAGCGACTTGATGCGCTTTGGGAAATGAAATTGCCAGGGTATTTTACATGAGTATGGAAAGAAACATAGATCATAGACGGTTATCGAAACATGATTGCATCTTTACTTGCGATGCTCACGTATTCAGCTCACTATAGTATTGTTATGAACTTCCTCTTGCTTCATTCTCGACGTGATAGGTGTTCTGCTTTGTTTAGTGATGGAACCTCCGATGAGATCTTGAAGTGGGGGGTAGCTACCCCACTTAAGCTTACGTTGGGTGACTATCTTGTTTGAGGTTCACACGGCGCGGTGCGACGAGGATCCATGGTCAATGCTAATATATACGATAGATATTTTCAACACTTCATCAAACAATCCTCTGTGGCGCAATTGGCTAGCGCGTCTGACTGTTACACCAGTGGCTATCAGGAGGTTGGAAGTTCGAGCCTTCCCGGAGGAGGATTATCTTTTTGCTCGTCCAGTATACATCAATCGTATTCATGTTACTGTGGTGGCACGTTCGCCCGTATGTCTTGTAGAATAATGTTTTTGCTGCACGTTCCATTGGCTGTAAGCGTGGTCGCGTTTATGTGCAGTTTTCTCGGTGAAGAGATCCTACAAACTCAAAGGACATACATAGATTGTTACACACTATTCCTTCAGACGGACTCATGTGTTTGCCATCCATTCACTCGTATGATGTGAACCCTAGATTCTGGTCTTTTGCACACTTTCAAATCTTACCCTACCGTCTTCAATTTTCAGCACATTAACGGGGACCTTGACGCGCAATGGCTCCTCGCCTGGCAGATTCATGGGAGCCGAGAAACCTGCTACATGCGAAACCATGCTGTCGCACGTCGGACATTTCCAGTCTCTGTGCACTGAGGCAGAATCCTCATTGCTGTTCTGTTCAATCCTCTTGATGCAGACATTGCAGAACTGGTGGTCGCAGGGACGGATACTGACTGTGTAAGCAAGAAGAGGCAGAATTGAAGAAGAACTGCTTACATGCAATCACACAGTCGCAGCTCGCATGTCGTGCACATCTTCGGCTTTGTTGGGTCGAACTCTGGTTCAGTGCTGATACCGACCTGTTGGTCCATCTGGCTAACACTCTTCATGTTGTTGAAATCACCTCCGTCGAGGCGCTCATCTACCTTTTCTTCTATAACGAAAAATTGTCCAGAAGCTTCGGCGTATGCTTTGACATCCATCGGCGGAGGCCGTGGGACGATATGCGTTAACTTTTCGCAGCTTACTGGGTCGAGCATGTGCACATAGAGAATACGTGCAGCAGTGTGGTTCCATAATGTGGCTGGGTAGGGGTCTTTGTATATATCTTGAACTACATCCTAGGTCAGTAAAAGTAAAGCGAAGGATTATCTAGCCCTACTCAGTTTTCCGCCAGCGGCTAGACCCATAGCGCTGATGTCTCTCGCATCATTGGTCTCGAGTTCTTTGTTAGTGTTATGCGTAACGACCTCTTTCTCAAAGCCGTAACTCGGGCTTTCTATTGTTGGAAAACCCTCGATTGGTGTCGCTACTTTCGCGAATTCGCCTCCAGAACAGTACGTAAACAAGTGAGACAGTCGCCCGATTGCCTTGAACACATGAGTTAATAAGAAACCTACGTAAGTTTTAGCGCGACTTACTTTACACTTAATATCTGTTCCTGGTTCTGCGAGATGCTTCGCCTTGAGAGGCACCTCGTAAGTAGAGTCGGTCGGGTAAGATCTCAAAACGTCGCCAATATCTCTACCAAGCTGCTCAGGCGTCTTCATTTCGTCAAGGTCACTAGAAAAACCGCGTGCGCTCTTCACTATATATTTGTCCTTGCTGAACGACCATAAGCGTCGCTTTGGAAGAAGTTCCGGTGTGATTTCAATCTGAAGCCCTCCATGCTGCTCTTTTGATGTCTTTTGGCCCTCGACAGTGTATCCAGATCCCACTTCCTTCAGTCAGCTGAGTTCCATGATAGGTAAGCTAGAGACGTACGCGGCATAGCGACAAACTGGCGAACTACGCCAGGCGCTACACAAATACCATCTAACCATCGTTGACCAGGTATGACGATGTAATCCTGCTGCTTCTCCTCGGCGTTTTTATCAGTAGTCTCCTCTATCGCACGACCCGAAATAGTGTTGATGTGGCCGATGAAAACACGAACAGCCCACTTATGCTGCTTTGGCTTGAAGTTCAGCCACATAGCTTCTCTCTGCCACATGGGGAAGAACAAACCGCCACTCTCACTGATGTTCTTCGGAAGATGGCTGGAACATGCTTCCACGCTGAACAGGTCGTAACTACCCAACGAGCCTGGTAGCTGGTGCAGCCTGTTATCATCCGGCATTCTTGGTGTTCTTTCGAAAGACATGCGAAATCCACAATCAGTCTCCACTACGCGCTTCGAGGAAGATAGCGGAGAGATGCTGAACTCAATTCTTTGGCCATAGTGAGTGTTTGCGTGCGAGATCAGCGATTCTGTAAGTCTGATTGTGTTCTTGGTGGAAATCTGGTCGTCATTGACCACAACGACTTCGTCATGATCACTCACGACGTATCTGGGTATGTCTTCGTAGTAGTGTATATTGTCGATTATCAGCTCGAGAGGCTTTTGAAAACCGCAGTCTGCTTTACGTCAATAAAATACCCAATTATCCGAAATATAGATTGAAAACCTTCGATCCGATTCCAAAGTTCAGACATTGGCTCGTCGTCATGCATGATTATAGAAAATGGCGACGAGTTGACATTCTCGGCTAGCGTTTCTTTCGGGTTGACCTGAGAAGTATCCTGGAGTTTCTCTAGGCCCTCGATCACAATTCTACGAGAGCCTATCGGGACGACTCGGGTCGATGTTGAGCAGCTCATCGTAGGTAGCAAACCTCCGTTTTAAGCAGAGCGTTGGGAGAGTTTCTGAGCTGGAAGGAAAGATGATGTGGTGCTTGTCTTGAGGTTCAACTCAGCTTGATGGCTGCCTTTACGTCTTGTCAGGTGGGGTCATCTCAGCCGCACACGCGCCCCCGCTCTTGTTGCGTTCAGCTGGGCCAACGTCTGTGTTTTCTTTATATCGTGGTGTGACTCAGAAAAGATGTCTTTTGGCTTCTCGATAGGGGACATCAGTATGTATACGCGGTTGCGTCGTTGGGCAAAGAGCACTGACTGTATCTAGTCCTCCTCAGCCAGCTAGCATACAGTCTTTACGATAGCGTCAGCTCCGGGAGGAAAGCAGCAACGCGGGACTTAAGAGAGCTTGAAGAAGTACTGTTCAGCCTGAAATGTGCTCTGGATCACCTTGGAGAAGTTTCAAACGACATACTCGCGCGGCCAGGTTTCCGGAATGGCGGATCAGGGTTCAAGGAAAAGCTTGATATGATGATCAACTCGTGTGCTTCCACTCTGCAAGAACTAGATACCGTAACGAAGAAATATCGTGACGTTGAGAGTAAGGCAAACAAGGGCAAGACGAAACTACGCACGCTGGAAGACGTGAAGAAGAGTATCCAGGTCAACTGGCAAAGAGTGCGATGGGACTACGAAAAGCAGTATTTGCAACAGTATCGGGAGAAGCTTAAGTCGCATACCGATGCGATAAACCTGATGTTGACCTCTGTGATCTGGTAAGCATCTTGGCTTGTAGCTCGAGCCAATATCGACTAACAATACAGCAGGGCGAACACTGCATCCGCAGATGCAGATAACGAGAAGAACCATAAAGTAACACAGTCCTTGTTAGGAGATGTACTGCGCAACCCAGCTGCAGATGAAGAATTTCGAGCTATGGTACAAGAGATACACACGATACTCACACGACCGACTACTGGAACAGAAGTCGTCGAGATAGCTACGATGCAGGGTACAGCACTGACCTGTAAGCAGTTTTGTACCACTGCCTATTCACCGAGCGGCTCATCAGTTTTCAAGTCCTCTGGCCCTGTCGCGAGACACGGAAGAAGTTTGCCTTCAGTGAGTATGTATGCCGTGTCGGATCTTCCGTATACAACGTCAACAGCGAAAGCATACGTCGGAGCTGTCTCAGAAGGAGTGTCAACGCAAGGAGCCGTGTATGCCATGCCTGCAAAAAGCTACCCAACTGATGAAAGCGAATTTTGTAAGGAAGATCTACCGGGCGACAGCGAACTGTCAGTCGCTACTGTCAAGCTCAACAATGAACGCCGTGCTTTCGGGGCAAAAGAATATCAAGCTTTCCTGCGGCAACACGCACAGCCGAAGAGAGTTCCGAAGCCATCTTTCCTGACGAGTATCATGCCCACCAGCCAGGAGCTTCAAGCTTGCATACCCTACATCTTTCAGTCGACGGCGGAAGGTAAACAGCAGACGCAGCAGCTGAAGAATGAGATCAATCGCTGGACTGAGGGGTTTTCTCATTTCATCAACCACAAAGCGCCTCCGAGAGAGAAGGACGAATGTTTCCTGATGTTGTTGGGAGCGCTGAATGAGGCAGTGGAAGATAGCTCTAGAGGGACGCGACAGCTATTCTACGAGACTTCGGACTCTTCAGGCTTTGCAACGGCCTTGGACCAGGTACAAACCATATCGAAGAGCGTGAGGGTGATGAAAGAGATTGAGGAATTCGAGGATGCTAAAGAAGAATGGGAGAAGCAGGAGCGAGTTCGTTGACTGTACAGTCTGATAGTTCAGTATTCGGACGAGACAGCGCTGTTAGATAACCCTGTGTAAAGGACGCATTAAAGGCATATCTCCCACACTTGAATTTCTTGGGGGACCGAACAGTTGTAGCAACTTCGCATTCCCTTGTCCCTTCTTGCCTCCTTCTAATGTGCTACTGAGCACATTTCCCATTTTACCACACGCTCCTCTAAACCAGAGAAAGCCCTCCAAATCTGAATCCACAAAGAGTCCAGGTTTCATCGTGACATGCTCATCATCGTCTGGTAGCATTGGATCAAGCACGTCGTGTAGTATCAGCCGCTCACCAGTGGGTAGCAGACACCACAGGTCGCCAAGTGCGTTCCATTTGGCAATGACGTCTGCCGCGGTATGTTTTTCGAAATCAACATAGCGATCTTGCTTAGTGATTTTTGGTGCGTGGTCGATAGGACCGTTGGAGTGTGCGTACCATCCGACGGGCTCATGCGGAGGCACAAATTTGCGTTGCTTCAAGACATCTACCAGCATTTCTGCCCCGGCAGTGGCAAGCTGTTGCTCTACAACCCGAGCCATATCAGGAGTATCGCGAGAAAGGCTAATGTCATGGCCAGGCATGGGGGTTTGGGCAAGGATAGTACCCTGGTCGAAATGCCTTGGATGTAGTGTTTGCACAGAGACACCGGTGTACTGCCGCCTCTTCAGTATGGCATGTTCGATGGGCGCTGGGCCACGCAGATCGGGCAGCAGAGAAGGATGGACGTTCAGGCCGCCGTATTGCGCATAGTTGAGGATCCTCGGTGGGACAAGGAGGCCGAAGGACACGGCGATGACGACATCTATGGGGTTGGGTGGCGTCCAGCCTGTGAAGGTGTCGATCACATGAGTAGGTAGATTGAGCTCTTCGGTAGCTACCTGCTTGATAGGAACTGAATCTTGTCAATTAATGCTGTGTGGCAGTCAAAAGACATTCCTACCCTCTCTTAGTTTTTTCAGTCCTCGTCCAGTAGGCTTCGCTGGTCGATGGACTACATCGATGCTCTCTATGAGTTTCGGCACATGCCGCTTCGCGTCTGCTACGGCGCGCAGTGATGCGATACTGAAATTGTCAGAACCGCAGAACAATATCCGCAACGGCCCCGACGTCCGAGCGGGAACTGCTGTAGAGCTATAGCGACAGTGTGGAGTCTGGACCAGGGAGTAGACGCGGCCTCGTAGCCTGCAGAACATGGTCGGAGTGAGGAAGTTCGGCGACAAATGCCGCGCCGCAGGATCTGGACGTTGCGATCGAGATCTCGTGGGGCATCTTCACCACGACAATCGGGTGCATCCTTGCCGCCTGGCGCCGCATCGCGATGCATCGCAATCTTTGACCATGGAATACAAATAGTCCACAGCGACCGCTTGTTGTTGAGGTTGGCACGGTGGCTGGTTGTCTTCTCCGCGTCTCTTCCGCACGTGTGACGCCATTCATCCCTCACCCAAAACCACCCGAAGCGCTCGCGACCAGGCACTTCGAAGAATGCTGGAATGTCGTCCACGGCGGGCTCTAAGGTCATTCCGGCGCAACTCTCTTTCCTAGCCATATACAACCCTTCCCTCGGAAGGTCAGATGAGACATTCGACCAGCAGATTGTCTTCTATTACTCCAAGGCCGCCAAGACACGCTCCAAACTGAGAGATGGCGATACTGAGAGGGAAGAGGAGTTGCGCGAGCAGGAGAATGAGAAGCTCCGTCAGGTCGGGCTAGCTCAGGGCATGGTAGGCTTTGCGAAGTAGGTCGCGTGGCAAGCACTTTCCGTATATCAAAGCTGATCAAGCATAGGAGCTTCTCTGATGGCGAGGCAGTTGATTCCGTAGAAACGCAGAAGACGCGTATTGTTCTGCGTGAATTGGAGGACGGATGGTGGATATTGGCAGTATGTACATTACACATGCTCAGTAGACTACAACTGACACCACGGTAGTCGATTGACCTTACACAACTACCCGCTGCCGGCGGCCTCACACGAACCGATTCGAGCACCGATACCACCGAGCCCGTCATCGAGTACTCATCACGCGAAGTCAGCCCGCCCGCACTGCTGATCCAACAACTCGCTCGCGCCCAGTCCATCTTCCTGCTCCATCATGGCTCGACAATGGAGGCCATGTTCGCCAAACACGGCCGCAGCAAGTTCTGCAGCATACTAGAGAGATACTGGTCGCGGTTTGCGAGCAATTGGGACGTGCTACTACACGGAAGCCCTGCGGTGGAGATATACGGTGGCATGAAACTGGCAGCAGGCGGAGAGTTGGGCATGGGTGTTGGAGAAGAGGAGTGGGGTAGCAGTGAGCGGGATGTGCTAGAGGACTTTGCACGCAGAACATCAGGTCTCGTGGATGTCATGGTATCCCGCTTCGGCGAAGCATCGCCGTTGCAACAAGCCAAAACCTCTACAGACCCAAAAACACTCGAAGTCTCCGAGTTGGAACCCTGGATAGGGGTCGGGAGAAATGCCCATGCCGCTGATGGCGTTGTCTTTTCAGGTCTGGGAGCGGTAAGCCGAAAGTCGCTGCGGGACTTGTCTCACTGGGTAGAGACTATCTACGCTCACGGCGAGTACGCTTACGGCATACGAGACAACCCGACTTCTGATCGCAGAAAACGGCGGAGGAGAAATCTGAAGCCCGAGTCCGAGCCCGAACCATCGCCTCCAATGCGGGACGAAAGGCCGCGTCCTCCAGTATCGAACGATGGCTCAGACCTGCCACCTGGTATCCCTCCACCGATTGTCAAAGCGGTTGAGAACTCCCTTGATAAGGCAGCAGCCGCCGTCGATAACAACAAATCTCAGGCCACTTCAACTGCGCCCGAGTCTCAGACAATGCTATCGTCTCTGGGTGACACCGAGACATGGATGAAATATATGACCCTTGGCTATGGGACAGCATGGGGCGGAAGCGGAAACAAGAGCGCAGAGACCTCGGGTTCTGCTGCTCCAGCGCCAGCTCCGGTACCACAACCGGTACGCGAACGAACACCTTCCCCTGCAGCGATGCGCTACGTCGATCCTACACCCGATGTAGACCCAGCAGAAGAGAAGATAAAGCAACAGATACGCCTAGAGAACGATGGGTACTTTCTCGTAGGGCTCAAGGGGGATCTGCAAGACTTGGAAGTCGACGACGAGAACGGAGAGGGTGATTGGAACAACCGAATACCACTGCGGACTATACATGTGGAGGTCGACAGGCGAGCTGCCTCACTGCAAACAGGAGACGGTGACTCGGACGAGACTCCGCAATACGAGAAGGATATGAGAGTGCAACCGACGACGACAGGAAGTAATCTAGCCCGGTTAAGACCTGTCGTTTACGTGGTAAGTTTGGACAGCATCTACGACATCTAAGACCCGGCTAACACTAAATCCAGCACCGTCCATTCGTCTACACCTTCCTCTTCGAACACCGCACGCATTCACTAGGCGTCGCATCCTTCTACCGCGACATTCACAACTTCTTCTCGCCCCTCCACCGCTCCCTAGACAAAAGCACCTCCCCCGCAAACGTCGCCGCGCGTCTCCACGCCGTCTCCAACCACTACACAACCGAAGCCTCTACCGGCGGTTCAGGCCCAAACTCAGGCCCCAACACGCAGGCCATTTACGATGTCGTCTTCGACCCCCGCACATACACGATCCATTCCAGTCTGCCCAATATTCCCGACCCAGGAACCTTACTAGCAGAAGGTCTGGGCAGCAGCAGTACCAGCTCCCTCGGCTGGAGCAGAGTCGAAGCCCTCAACGTCCACTCCCAGATCCTAGCCACGGTAGCAGGTACGCGCCGCGACCTTTCTGAAATAGAACGTACGTGCAAGACTTCGCGCGGATGGTGGGTCGTCTGGATGCGTCTCCCGCCTTCTCAAGTCAGCTCCGAAGACGCAGCTGCCCAACAAGACTCGCAGAACAACTCCAACGAGGGGTCTGGCTCCGCGCAGTTCAACACAAATGAGCTGCGGGAAGCGTTCTTAGTTCGCCGCGCGAGGGATAGTCAGCCAGGGAGTACGAAGAGCTCGAGTCGCTTTGCAAATGGTATGTGGAGTGGATTTGGTATGGGTGGTGGCGGAGGTCAGAATCAGAGGATGGGGGGTGCGGCAGCGGGTTGGGGACCCAAGGGGTTGGCAGAGGGGATTGGTATTGATGCCAGGAGGTATGTTGAGGAGTTGTTGAGTTTGAATAGATAGAGTTGGTGGTCAGTCAGGAATGAGAATGCTTCGATAGACAGGAGTGAGATTCAGTTCATCCCTAGTACCAGCTCACCCCGTCACCCCGTTGTTTGTTTGAGCATGTCAAAGGTGGTGATGAAAAGGGGAGGAGTACGCCATTGCTCATGGCGTCCCCATGATCATAACCACTTTCACTTACGTATCCGAGAAACCATTTGACCTGGTGCGACTCAATCAGATCTGTCCATCAGCATTACCGTAAATTCGCTATACTGGGGTATATCTGTACGCTTTTTATACTCAAGGAATCACGGCCCATCTTTGCGATCGTGACGCGATTGTCGTGACTCGTCGTAAACGTGAATTCGGAAATTTCAATCCACTTCAACATGCTCGGTGTCATCCAATGCCCTAACCACTTCCTCCATCTCCTTCGGACTCGTAATACCCCAGACACCGCCTCCTTTGACGGAGCCCTTCATACCCACTTCTTTACCCACAAGGTTTCTGCCCACTTTCCCCGGACCAATGCCCACATAACGCATAATCTTCTCTTGCTCGTGCAGATACTTTACGCTCTTCCACCACTGTACTGTTTCTACACAGCTACGTGCTAGAAGATCCTTGAGCTGCTCTTTGTCCTGGAAGGGCTTGCCAGATACATTCGATATGCAAGGCATGATACCTGGCCATGTAACGATGTCACGTCCATCTTCAGTTTCTTTGTGGAGTATGCGTTTCATGGTTTCTTGAGCGGGCTTCATGAGAAGGCTGTGGAAGGGCGCGTCGGATTTTAAGCGTACGTGACGTGGATCGTGGCCGCCGAATTGACGTAAATTCGTGAGCAAGGTGTTGATGCGGGTGATGCTGCCGCTGAGGACGATTTGGTTCTTCGAGTTGAGATTTGCGATTGAGACTTGTTGGACGGCTGGTAGATGGTCGTGGGAGTCTGCTTTAGAGCCCAGGGCAAGGAATTCATGGATACCGTTGATGAGTGCTTGCATGTGCTCTTCGGACTCGCAGACTAGGGCGACCATGCCGAACTCGCCGCCTTCCTCTGCAACTGCTTCCTGACTGCATTTACTCATGACTTCGGCTCGTCTCCGTACCATCTTTAGTGCGTCCCGGAATGTGAGGTAGCCGCCTGCCACTAGTGCCGCAAACTCGCCTAGTGAATGTCCCAGTGTGATGTCTACGCGCTCACTAGTCTTGAAGCCAAAGTCCTTCTCCAGTATTCGCAGTATGAGGATCGAGGTTGCCATGATGGCCGGCTGCGCATTCTCGGTCCGTGTGAGTTCGGCATTGGTACCAGATTCTATCGTCTTGGTGAGGGGGAGTTTGAGGGTTTCGTCGATTTCCTCGAGGATGGGTTTCGCGGTGTTGGGGAAGGCTTCCAGCCATGGTGTGCACATTCCCACTCGCTGTACGCCCTGACCTGTTGCTGCTTAGCATGCTGAAATAGTGAGGTTTGTAGAAGCTGGGAAGAAGTACCAGGAAAGAAGATGGCAGTCTTTGGTCTCTTAGCTGGCGCGTCTCGTACGCTGCTCATCCAGCGCCGTCGCGCGGGCTGACAATTGTCGCTCCGCTCGCCGCATCGCATGCACCGTCGCGTTAGACGCGGGGCTGCTCTGGAAGCGGTATTGAGAGAAGTAGACATGGTAGGTTTCTGACTATGACTTTCAGGGAGTCATGGTGTTGATCTCTGGAAGTTCTGCGGAGATGCGGAGGTTCGGGACGCGGGGAATTGACGTGAGGTGCCCTGCAGCTCGGTTTAGCGTCGTGGGGTGACAGCATCCCCACGGCCGAGGTCTCTCCCTTTTCCGCGACAAATCGGCGCCGAGGCAATTGACAAGCTTGCGAATGTTCACCATGACTTTTTCCATTGCTAAGTTGATGATGATTCTGGGAGATGACCACAATGTCTGTTCTACCACACCTTATGCGCCCTGGATGTTCAGTCCACCATCAACCTGAATGCGCATACCAGTCATACTAGTATTCTTTGCCAGCATCACGAACGCAGCAGCACAATCATCCAGGAATGTCTCATGCTTCAGTGCTGCAAGGTTCTTCAACTGTTCGATCTTTTCCTGGGAATATTTGAGGCCCTAAGATAGTGTCAGCATCCAATACAAGGTACCAGGAGAGGTTCTTCTTCGCACCCATTCAGTCAGCAGTAAGCCCGGGAGGACCGTATTGACACGGATTTTGGGTCCAACAGTGACTGCCAGACATTTGACCAGCTGAAGTTGTGCTGCTTTGGTAACCGAGTATGGCATGCTTGATCCGCCTTGGCTGACACCCTGTACTTCGCGATTAGCATGTGGTTACTACTAGACCTTTGGCCTGAACGTAAATCAAGAGAAGATCAGAAGGGCAGCTCACCGCAATGCTACCAGTAGTAATCATAAGTCCACCATCCGGATTCGCATCGAATGTAGCCCTCGCTTCAGAGAGTATTGCCTTGGGTACTTTAACATTTGCGTTCCAGCACTTATCCCACTCTTCTTCGCTCATGGAGTCGAGGTCTTTCCATTCAGCGAAACGCGTCCAGCCCTGCATTGGCGTTAGCAGCATCCTCTCTTGTCGGTATCTGTCTGTACATACTGCGTTAGCGAGCACAATATCCAGCCCACCCAACTGCTCGATTGTCTCTCTAACCGCTCGCTTTGCTTCCGCCGTCGATGTCATATCCTATCGGACACTTTAGCTTACATTCACTACAAACAAGAATACGATGAGCGTACCGCTTTGATTACAATAGCTTTGACACCATGTGCCTCACATGCCTTTTGCACTTTTTGTGCCGGCTCGATACGGTTGAAGTAATTGATAGCGACGTTCGCGCCTTCACTGGCAAACGTCGTACTGAGGAGTTCGCCGAGACCACTGGAGATATTGTCAGTGACAAACTTCTAACGTGACACAGAGATGGCAGAATTAATTGAAGCCTTTTTAGGAGTTGCCCTGTACGTACGCTGATCCACCTGTGATAAGCACGTTTCTGCCTTTGAGATCGTACGGCATCTTTGCTACTTGGTGTGGTAGTGTGGGGTAGAGATAGAATACTGTCAACGGGTCCTCGTCGAGAATAAGACACGGGATTGTAAAGAGTCTATGAGAAAACTGTAATTTGTGAATCAGTATGAGACGTCATTAAAGTTGTTTACACTGTGTACTGACGGACTCCGTTGGGGTAGAGGTGGGGCGAGAGCTTCCGGAGCTATGCAGGTACACCCCGCTCCATCCATCTTACTTCATGCCGTTTCCGAATTAGTGTTTGTTACCTCGGTACATTTGGCACAATAATCACACCGAGTCCGTTTTTACTTCCGGTGGTAACATGATCTATTCAAAGAATAACTCCAAAGATGCGGTACTGGTAGTCTCTAGACTCGATGCCCAAACAGTCAAGTCCGATCCAAGCGCTTATCCAAGCAACTCCCCTTCATACAACATCTGCTACATGTTATCGAAATCCAACCCCCAGTCATCGTCACCTCCACCTCCACCCATATCCATGTTCATGTCCATATCCATATCCATGCCCATACTACCCATGTCGCCCAGATTCAGATCGGGTAGGTTACCCAGATCCGTACTCATGTCACCCGCTCCCGCATCGCCATTACCCATACCGATGCTTGACAGATCCAGGCCTTCAGGACCCGTAAGTTCGTCCATACTGCGCTGCAGCGCTTTGTTGTCCATGTTGGAGATGTCGTCAACAACTGTTGCAGCGGCCGCATCATCGATAGCTCGGTTGAGATCGTCAGATATGGTTTGCGATTGCATATCTGCGATATTGACACTTGGGATGTTGATAGGCGGTGCTTGGAGTCCAGCTTCACCAAGGGAGGCAAAGTGTGCTTCTACGCGGCGGTGCAGGCGTACTATTGTCTCCGCCGTTAGGGGATCTGTCGCAACCAGATTTGCAGCGCTCTCGAATTCTTGCTTGAGCATTTCGCGGAGATTCATGTGATTTCGCTGTTGGGGCGGCGCTGGTATCGAGCTTCCTACCCAGTCAACTGTGATGGGACTATCCTCGACAGTGGGAGCACAGATGATGGACACGCCGATGTCTAGTGCAGCCGCACCGTTGCCAGCATCTGTCTGTGCCTTTACTTCATCTACGACTGCGCGCAGTGTTCTCGTCGCACCCAGCATCTTGAGCGATGCATAGATCTGGCGGTGTGTGTAGCCAGGTGGATTTGGCTGTAACGACGAGGTCGAAGCCCACTGTGACAGTTGCTGTATGGTGTGCCGTATGGATGAGTTGAGAGTGCTGTTCGGCGCATTCGTCCACTGATCTACCTCTTTCAAGCTAGCGTACACGGAACGTTCGTAGTATGCGTGAACTTTGATCGCCTGGATAAAAGGCTCGAGTGTCGTTCGGTTCGGCTCACGTCGCTGTAGCGTGCGGAAGCACTTTTCCAGGCGATTAGAAACCATAGCTATTATAGTCGAATGCATAGCTTGTGCGTCGCCAGAGGAGGGAGTCGTTAGTATGACTTCGTTGAATATACGGATCATCGCATCGAGATCGTTGTGCGTTTGAAGGAGCGCGTATGAGGCCATCCAGGTAAGACCTTCTATTAAGGATGGCAATAAGAATGTCTCTCCGAGATCTGGGACGGGTCAGTAATGCTAGGTTTAACGAAATGTATCAGTATGAGCTTACATTCTAAACCACCTTTGACCGACTCAAATGACAGAACTCCAGTCGAGCATGCCACGACTGTCTGTCTGAATAATGTGGGAACTATGAGGTAGAAATCTTGAGGACGGCAAGATGCAAAGACTTCGTTGCTAAGCCCTTCCTTATCGGCGTCGTAGAGTCCTTTTAGCCAGTTACCAAGATGCTTGCCTTGCTCTTCGCTCAGTTGGTCGGGCAGCATGCTATGATGACCACGTTTCAAAAGTTTGGCGATGAACGTATCATGACCGATACCGATGTCGTGGTACGTAAGATCATAGCGGTGTATGAATGCCATGACGAGGACCAGTATCGCACCGAATTCGTCGTATACTGGTTGGTATTCGCCTATATATGTCAGCGGAATACAACACTAGTATTGTTGAGAACTCGCCTTGATCGCTATCATAGTGCCAGTCGTCAAGAAATTGGCATAGAGGTCGCAGAATGCTCGCTGGTGAGGTGAATTGGAGCATTACGTCCATTGCCTGCGGTTTCTTGAAGAGTAACGAGGATAGTTGCTTCAAGTACATAGTCGTTTGAGTTTCACAGAGGTGTGCTATAAACTGTATTCATGTCAGCAAGTCTCTTTTGGAAGTCATGCAATCAAGTCGTACATCTGTAACAGCAGCGACTATGGCACCCGCATTTCCGTCCAGGCTCTCAAGTCCGTCGATGAATGTGCTGACTTTGTCAAAGTTTGACTTGCACTGGTTTAGCAATTCTTTCCTCTCGTATCTCTTCGAAGGTGGGCCCTGCATGGGGGCTTCACCAAGCAACCGCTCTACGGTACCCGTTGGGATGAGAGCATGAAGCGCACAGGCGTTGAGGAAGTCTTGCCTGACATCGGAGAGGGAGTTGTTATTGCTTCCCATGATATCATCGAACCCTTGCGAGAATGATGGAAATGCGTGGGGGTCCACATGACTGAGTGCTTGAGTGATGCACATCTCGACTGTCATGGGGAATATCGATCCGGTTAGCTGTGCCAGGAGTAATGGCACCTTATTGATTAGGAAAGATTTCAGGTAGAACATGGTTTGCGGCGGTTCACTGCGATACATGGCGTTGGCAAGAACATCAAAAGCAGCGGTGATCAAGTCTGTGGCCATGTTCTGCGCTTCCAACTATGACGAGTCAGCATCTCTCCCGGAATGAGAGACCACCACCTTACCTTGTATCGTGAGTGAAGATGATTGATAATGATGAAGTCATCGGTTAGAGGACGCGCGACAAGCTTGAACTTTTAGCAATAGACTAGCTCAACATCTGTATGACTTACCAATGCATTCAAGAAGATGTAGAGACCGGCTCGCGTGTTCACTTGTGGGAGCTCCATTACAGCATCGAGCTGAAGGGCAGCGACTTCAAGACCTGCGTTCCCATTCTCCTCACCGTTGACGTTAGGAAGTTTCTCGTAGAAATCATGCCGTTTCTGTGAGAGTTCCAATCTTTCAGCTAGTTGTAACGATTGATGCGATCCGCCCGAGTTGTTGGAGAGAAACGGGATGAACGAAGAGAACGATTGAATGAAACTCTTGCGTATATCTGAGTTATGTGAGTGGTGCAGTCACCAAGGATCGAAAGAGTCGTTTTGAGCTTTGCATAGGAAGATTTTACGAAAGTAAGAGAGCCGCTTACCTTTGCCTTTGGGATTATTCAGTATCCGCAGGATCTTTGAGTTTTCTATTACGCCAATCACAAGCATTGCAAGGCCTTCCCGAACATTAATAGAGTGCTGCTGGGGCTGCTGAATACCAGCCATGGCCTGGATCATGCTATCGCTCGTATGCGAGGTCACCATTGCCTGCATCCATCTTGTCAAGACAATAAGTGTGCGCAGGCCTTCAGTATTGTTGATAGGCCGCTCTTCTGCAGCAAAAGCCTTGTGTAAGCGATGAAAGACAATTTCCTCGAGTTCTGGTGGATTGTCCCATTGCGCCTCCTTGGTTGGTTTCTCGTCGCCTGTCTTGACTGGAAGGCGATCCTTGGAGTACAGGAACGTCAGCGTCAGGACGTCAGAGGCATCGACCTTCTTCAAAGCCAGTAGCTGCTCAAGAAAGACAATAGAACGTGGATCGATGTTGTTGGAACCTGCGACGCGTGGTCGAAGCACCAGTGCAGCAAGCTTCCGGCCGGGCAGTGGAGACTTCGCGTGGAGCTGCGCGACGGCTGCAGCGAACAAATCAGGTTGGATACGCCGCTCGAGGCACTTATCCAAAAAGACCGACCATTCCTTAATCATGGACTCCATGGTACATGTGCTTTAAAAATACGCCCCGAAGGTTGGGCCGGTTGTTGAAAAGAAAAAGAATATGAGGTGTGTTCTGACGAGGAACAAATGCAATCGTAGGTAGCTGAGGCTGGCCGAAGCTTCTTGGCAGGCACGATCCACGGATGCGGGCCGCACAGAACTTTGGAACCTTGGAACTTTTTCCACGTGTATTGCCAGCAGAAGAAAATCACTCGTCGGGCCTTTAGTACTATCAGCCACGAATAAGAAATTGTATTCGAGTTGAATGCGCAAGGAGATGAATGTGGAAGGGACACAGATCGTCAGGACTAACATAGTAACATAACATTGATGGTATCGAAAACAGTTTACATTACAATGAAAAACGTTTTGCTCATGTTGTGAAACATGTACAACCACTGCGTACTGGTGGCGCATAGTGCTGATCGCTGAACACTGACCGCTCACCCTAGCTCTCGCAAATCCAAAAAAACCTACGCACGTCTTGGTGCGACGCGGATTACGACCATGATGCTTGACGACCATCGAGCACTATCGTGCACTAAACAACGCCATACTCCAAGCCAAACTTCAAGATGGACGGCGACGAGCATCCTGTGGCTGGTCGTCCGCATCCGGTGCGCGTGGGCCCACCATCCAGTCCTCCATGGCTAGCCACTGACTCCACGTCTTCTCGGCCCCCTCAATCTCGGCCAGCTGAACCTCCTGCAGTGGCTTCAGGAAGGGCACCGACTCGTGCGGCGACATGTCGTACTGGCATTTGACCTTGGCCCAACCCACACTCTTGGCTGCAAAGAGGTAGTTGCGACGCTCACACTCGTGCATTGGGCCGACTCCCTTCCTCCAGTCCTCGCCGAAAAAGCCGTGCATGATTCCTGGACTGTCCATTCCTGTGATGACGAGACGTCGAATGAAGGGCACAAGGGACACCCATGCCGGGGCCGGCTGGCCTCGCGAATTGGTGACAGGACCCTGGCGGGGCCAAGGCATGTTGTAAGCAGCAGCGCCCGACGAGTGCGGCAGCGGCCCTGATGCGTTCATGAGGGGATTTTGTGTCCATTGGAATGGCAGGCGGATGTTGATGAGGGCGCAAACGGCCTGTACGCCGTTATCGTGTTGAGCATGGTCGAGGAAGTAGCGCTGGCAGCTCTGATACGCCGGGTGCCAGTCGAAGATGTCGAAGTGCGGCTCGGAAGATGCGTTTGGGACAGATGGCGAGCCTCCTGAAGAGGTGCTACCGCGCGCAAAAGTTCCACCACGCCCTGTCTGAAAGGTTGGGTATCCCGCGGGAAAGTTGGTGGTGAATCCGGGTAAATTCGCCATGATGGAGGGCAGTAGGGGCTACTGCAGGAACGGCAAAAGTCAGCACTGCTGGTTGGCTGGTTGGAGAAGAACACCAGTTTGTGTACTCGCAGCTCGCAACTTACCGAGCTGGGTGCAACCAATGTCAAATAAACGTGCCGGTGCAAAATGTCGGGTTTAGCTAAGGAAGCCCAAGGAAGCCAGGGTCTCAGGTTTCTGACAGGTTGTGACGAGAAGTAGGATCAATGACGAAACGACCCAGTGGGCGGCTAGTTTAAGGCTGCTGCAATATGTTTGTTGCTTGGGCTTATGGCAGCATGTATAGCGGGCGCGATAAGATGCTTTATACATGCAAGAGGTTGAGTATACAGATGATGAGGCTTCAGAACTTGCTTATATGGTGTGGCTTCGGTCGACGCCGCCCTGCTAACCTTGCGAGGAATTATTGAAGCCTCCGTGAGATGGACTCGATTTGAGAATAATCCCGGTGGTGATCAAGTCGAGCCACGCGGGCTCCTCTGATCCTTCACAAGTAGACTCAGGCTGCCGAGCCAATTAGCGGCGGCATAAAGCCTGGTGGGGACGGAGATGGTGGCTTCGCAGTTCGCGGGTTGGCGGATGGTCGACGGCCCCAAAGTCGGTCTATTCAAAAACTGTGTAAACCAAGTGTCGTTAAGACTGCGCTGCCTGTGCTGTCGTTGGTTGCTTGCGTGCGCTTCAGCCGAACGCTGCCCCCCTTTTTAACGTTCCTTGTAGATTTTGCTGCGCAATGATGGTCCTTTTGCGACCCCAGACAGTTGGCATACATCGACGGAGACGCCGAGATCCAGGCGCGTCGAGCCAGATTCGCTTCTGAGCCTCTCTGAGTGCGTTGGGTCTTTTTTGTCATCATTCAAGTTGGCTAGAATGACTAGAATGACAGGCGCCTTCAAACGCCCTGGCTATAGATCTCGTCAATCGTGGTAGGGGATCCACAGCCATGGGATGTAAAACGGATGTTCGTGTGTCCGAGAGCCACAATAAAAGGGCGCCCACCAATGCGCTGCCTGTCCCTTCCAGTATCACGGCAGCGCATCAGGCTGAAGAAGAACCGTTCATCGCCGATCATTCAAGCCTTCAAGCCCTCGGTGAGGCTGCCATACGAGTTAACGAGACACTGTACGACCGGGCACTGGGCACTCGGATCTATCGCGGCGAGAGCTAGTCGCATGGTGCAAAGGTTAGAGGAACGCGCCCCAATCGGCAAGCACCGCCCTCACGACACAGTTGGCGGGCGCTATAGGTTGCTCACACACATATCGCCTTTTTGCTTTTGCATGTGTAACGCCATCTTTACTGCAGGTGCAGTTGACCAGGGACGCTGCACAGCCATAGCCGCTGCATTTGAGATCTCAAAGTCGTGATCGTGACGCACCCACAATAAAGTGAAGACCCCGGTCGCAAGCGAGCCATGATGTAACCATTTCGCCGAGGATATCCATTTACCTCTGCCGCTATCGTGGCTTGCCTCTTGCAGCATCGCAGATCTACTTTGGTTTATGCACAACATAGCCTCAGCAGTGAACATGGCACAATCCTCCTTCTCATTGGCGTCACGGACTAAGGTGCGTTGAAGATCGTTGTACAATTGGCCGCCCGTGTCTAACTTTGGCAGCTTCCTAATGGCTTATCAATGCCAACGATTCATCTCGGCGTCTATTTGACGTCCGGGAAAGAGACTTATCAAGCCGTCCGATGGGCGTTGGAGGTATGTTTCGGCTGTTCCTGATGATCAGTAAACACCATGCTCACAATTGTAGGCTGGCTACCGAGCGTGAGTAGCATCACGGGGCACAACCTTTGTACCGCAGCTGATAGATGACGTATACCCAGAGTCGACTCAGCTCAGATGTACCATAACGAGAAAGAGACCGGAAAAGCCATCTCGGACTTTCTCTCAAGTGATGCAAACACAGACTCTCTCAAACGCGAAGACATCCACTTTACTTCCAAGTTGGCATCCAACTCCGCATACGAGACGGCCCGCAAAGCTATTAAGAGATCAGTCAAGGAAGCAGGTCTTGGCTACATCGACCTGTTCCTGCTACATTCTCCATATGGAGGCAAGCAAGCGCGTCTTGATAGCTGGCGAGCGGTGGAGGACGCAATTCACGACGGCGAAGTCAAGACTGGAGGCGTCTCCAATTATGGAGTCAAACATGTAAGTAGACCCTGGTTCCCGTCTTTTTGCTTTGGTTGTCTCGGGTAGCCCCGTATCCTACCTTTAGTGCGAACGTATACCCGGGATGGGAAAGTCGTTGTAATCCCCTTATTGGATCTGTAGTCTAGCCATGGCCATCACAAGACTTCCAACGTCGCCGAAGTCAATCACTAATAACAGTCTAGCTGCAAGAATTATTGGACTCGAATCCTACGATACCTCCAGCGGTTAATCAGATCGAGGTTCACCCGTTCAACACGTGAGCTCCCTGTGTGAACTATGTGTATGACTATACTGATTCTGGACACTAGACGGAAGGATATTACTTCCTTTTGCCAACAGCATAACATTGTTGTAGAGGCATACGCGCCCCTCGTCCGAGCCTTGCGGATGAAGCACCCCAAAATTGTATCCCTGTCCAAGAAATACAATTGCACTCCGGGCCAACTGTTGGTCCGCTGGAGCCTGCAGCACGGCTATGTGCCGCTGCCTAAGAGTGTGAAGAAGGAGCGAATCATCGAGAACTCGGAGGTTGGAGGCTTCGAAATCGAGGATGGCGATATGGAGACGATGGACGGATTGGACGAGTATCTCGTGACCGGTAAGTTCCTTGAACTGTCTGGTCTACACAGTCACATGAACACCCTCATCCCGCTGCCTTTACTGACAAACAAATTTTTCTCCAGATTGGGATCCTACCGATTGCGATTGAGTGTGGAGGCGGAGAATCCGCGCGTGGGGGTGCCAGCTTATGAAAGGTGGGAGCATCGCCCTCTTCACGGTTAAAAAAACCAATGTGATATTCTATGCGTATATTCGATGCATGACTATGCAAACCTCAATATGCTACTACTTGGGAGTCTTTAGCCGTCATCTTGCAGCTCAACGACTGCAACAGATGCATCTGCTTGATGTCGGAGGGCGCATCGACAGTTAACGAGGCTGTGCAACGTCGCATCAAGGATATCTCCGTATTGTGTAGGAGTGTGAGGTTGTCAAACTGACGTTGCATGTACGAAGCAGTAATGTTGCGGCATCTCCGCTGCAACAAGTCAAAAGATGCATACCCGCGGAGGCCGCCGCATCGCCAAGACAATCTTGTCTGGCCAAAGCGCCTGCCCACATCCCGGCTTCTCCCACTCTCTCTGCCTTTCGCCTTTACCCTGACAAGACACTAGCGAATGTTCAACGTAACAAGCTCGCCCGCCGACGTCGGCTTCACGTCGCCTCCCATGGTTTGACCCTCGACAATTACACGGCCGCCACGAGCCTGAGGTGGCCGGAGCCCCCGCTACTTCACGTGCAAACACCCCGCGATACTTGTCCTCGCCCGCCCATTGGCCAGATCCTTATCAGTAGAAAAAGTGCACACCATGGTTTGCATCAACATGGCGTGCAGTAGAGCCCATTGACCACTGAGAAGGGTCCATGACCCCAATCTTCCGGCCTCTGTGACGTACTCAAATCGAGTGCGACTTTCTCCCGTACCGTCACCGCGAGCCCAGGCGAACTATCTAGCTTCCGTCAACTGTAATTATATATACCAGACTGTCTCTCCTGTGCCTTCTCTCCATCAACCTTTGACTCTTCAACTGTATCGGTTTCTGTCAATCTACTTCTTCCACCAGTCACCAATACAATCCATCAAATCACAATGTCTGAGCCTGAGTTTGAGCAAGCCAGGAAGGGTACGTTTCCACCTCATGCGTCATGTCGCTGCAGAATCATCGGGTTACTACTTTGACTCTATGCTTTCTACCATTTGCGACTCCATCTAACATTCCATAGAGCTCGTCTCCACCCTCGAGGCCTCCTCCCTCTTCTCCAAGAACCCCGAATACAAGAAGGCTCTCGAGGTCGTCTCCGTCCCCGAGCGCATCATCCAGTTCCGCGTTGTCTGGGAGAACGACAAGGGCGAGTGCCAGGTCCAGAAGGGATACCGCGTGCAATTCAACTCCGCTCTCGGTCCCTACAAGGGCGGTCTCCGCTTCCACCCTACCGTCAACCTATCCATCCTCAAGTTCTTGGGTTTTGAGCAGATCTTCAAGAATGCTCTCACCGGCCGTACGTCATACCCGAGCCGATCGCATAAGAACATCAAGCTAACAAACACAAACAGTCAACATGGGCGGTGGCAAGGGAGGATGCGACTTCGACCCCAAGGGCAAGTCCGACAACGAGATCCGCAAGTTCTGCGTTGCCTTCATGAGGGAGCTCAACAAGCACATCGGTAGGTCTTGACCCTAGCGCGTACCTGCGCGTCACTTCCAGCCTCAGTGGGGCATGCACCCTTCAACGGGTTCGCATACTCTTCCGACAGCAGACCAACGAGATCCGGCGCGTTCATGTTGCCCTATCTTTCCGTCTGTCTGGCACTGCCCCGTCGGCGACGTTCGCGCTCCTTTCGTGCTTCTCCACTAGGAACATTTCACTTACGTAAACTACAGGTGCCGACACAGACGTACCTGCGGGCGACATCGGCGTTGGTGGTCGTGAGATCGGTTACCTCTTTGGCGCATACCGAGCGGAGCGCAACCGCTGGGAGGGTGTCCTCACTGGCAAGGGCGGCTCATGGGGAGGTTCCCTGATCCGTCCCGAGGCCACCGGTTACGGTCTCGTATACTACGTTGAGCACATGATCAACTACGCGTCTGGAGGAAAGGAGTCCTTCAAGGGCAAGCGCGTCGCCCTCTCTGGTTCCGGAAACGTTGCTCAGTACGCTGCTCTCAAGCTCATCGAGCTTGGCGCAACCGTCATCTCCCTCAGTGACAGCAAGGGTGCTTTGATCGCCGAAGACGACAAGGGCTTCACTCCCGAGGTCATCAACCAGATCGCCGCCCTCAAGCTGGAGCGCAAGGCTCTTACTGCCCTGGAGAACCACAACTTCAAGTACATTGAGGGTGCCCGCCCATGGAAGGAGGTCAAGAAGGTTGACGTTGCTCTTCCTTCGGCGACCCAGAACGAAGTCTCCGAGGACGAGGCCAAGGCTCTTATTGAGTCTGGCGCCAAGTTCATCGCTGAGGGTTCCAACATGGGCTGCACACAGGAGGCCATTGAGGTCTTCGAGGCTCACCGTCGCGAGAAGAAGGGTGAGGCCATCTGGTACGCACCCGGAAAGGCCGCCAACGCTGGTGGTGTCGCCGTCTCTGGTCTCGAGATGGCCCAGAACTCTCAGCGTCTGTCATGGACTGCCGAGGAGGTTGACGAGAAGCTCAAGGGCATCATGAAGGACTGCTTCGAGAACTGCCTGGGTACCGCCAAGGAGTACTTCACTCCTGCCGAGGGCGAGTTCCCATCCCTCGTTGGTGGTGCCAACGTCGCCGGTTTCCGCAAGGTCGCTGCTGCCATGCACGACCAGGGTGATTGGTGGTGAACAGGTCGCTACTAAGCGGGCTGCCTTTTGTATATGATACCTTACGATACCTTCACATTGGATTTGGCGTTCGGAAGCTGGATGCTTCCACTTGTACATAGATACCTTACATGAATATGATCATGATACACTTCATCATCTACTCTCTCATTCTGTGAGCCTGATGCTTACTTTACAAGCGCGCCTTCCCAATACACAGTATTTGCACAAGCTCTTTCCCAAGCCAAAACCGGGACTTGTACCCGATGAACTTTCAGGCGCACTTGCCAGCTGTGGCATGACTCCAAGATAGGTAATCATCTTCGAAGCACAAGCATGATCGCGAGTCAAAAATTCATCACGTCACCAAGCCCCCCATGGGAAAAGCAATTCAACTTCGCAGCACAAAAATGTGGCGTTCAGCTTGCCTGTCTGCCCCTCCACGCGCCCCATACCCCTGCTTCTTGCCATGCCCCGCCAAAACAGAATCGTAAAAATCCCGACCCCACCAAAGAAAGAAGCAAAAAAGCCCAAATGAAGAAGATAGCATAGCTCATTACCAGTCCTGGCTAGGCCCGCCCACGCGCGAGACATGACGTGAAATTTTCTTGTCACAGAAGGCCGAGACGTGGGCGGATGCGTGGTACGGTGATGTCTAGACAACTAGTAACGCGTTCCGCTCGGCCACAGCGCAATCTGGCCGGGCGCGAAAGTGTCGCGTCGCACAGCAGCCGTGGTGAGCTGCCGGGTTCGGAAAACAGGCGCGGAAAAGATGTTTTGCGCGGACGGATTGCCTGGGCTGGCTTGGGCTTTCGATATCGGAGGGGGATGGCGATGTCGGGAAATGTAGGGTTGGGAGTGTGCGACGGTCCGACAAAGTCGATATCGGACGCTGCTTAGATGAGACAGCACATTGTAGTTCCTTGTCAAAGTGTTCAGGGTCTTTTAGTTTAATAATCAGAGCGTGTTCTTAGTATGTAACATCTTTAATCAACAAGCGTGGAACTGTTGCGATACCAACTACCAAATATTCATCCGAGCACGGTAGTCCATTCCCTCAATAATTCGTCCACCTCGTCAACATTGGATGGTTTGGAATTACCTCTACTGGAGACAAAACCTCCTCTTTCTGTTTGGACTTTCTTAGGCCCGTCTTCCATCTCGTCTGCCCAGGATCCGAGTGCTACACTGTATCAGTAGATTGTTGCAGTATAGGGTCTTCATGAACTTACATTGATCTCCAAGGAAGTCGCCCAATTTCAGCTTCTGTTGTGAATCTTTCCGTCTTCTGGGCACTGTTGGTAATAGCGTCAGCAATGTTTTCTTAGTTTTCATGGTATAGAGATATGCAAGCATTGTGCCTCTTTTGATACCATTCGGGTCTACCTACCATCTCTTTGACGTGTCTTCGCCTTTTCCTCTGCCCTTAGTAACTCCTTTTGTTCCTGTATCTGAGTTTTCGTCAATGTTGGTCTAGGGGGTAGGGAGTTTGAAACCCCCAAATTCGCCCTGATTTCCCTTTCTTTATTTCCTCGCTGGGAACGCGAATGCTCGCGTGTCTTATGACCTTGGTATGCGCTTGGAGAAGAATGCTGGGATGATGTATAGCTGCACGATGCATTTGATTTTACATCGTATTCAGAGGCAATCTGTGCAGGTGGAGGAGCATGAGCGAGAACCGGTCTCGGTTTAGGTTTATCTCTTTTGGGACCCGGGCCGTTTTGAAGAGGGCCCGTACTAGATGCAGATGGCCGACGCTCTTCTACGAGATAGTACCTGGAAGGTGAACGAGAGCCATCGCGGGTCGACTGCGATGGCTGGAGCGACGAAAGTGAAAGCCGCTTGGGGGATTGGGCGTCTCTTGCAGAGGAAACAGTCCCCTCTCTTCGTCGAACCTCTTCTTGGGCTAACTTTTGAAGGCGTTGCTCTCTTATCTTCAGTACTTCTTCAGGCGAAAATTCTGGCCGAGACACTCGTTCTGTGTCTTTTGCTACTATCGCAGCATATGAAGCGGTATTGGTATGCCTGTAGGGTAACTTCTCGTGTGCTGCATCAGGCACCGACTTTCGCTGAAGCTCTGATGCAGCGCTTTTGGCACTCGTTTCGCTGATGATTTGCTGGGTTTGTGTGCTAGTGAATTTGGCTTTGGAGTTGCCAAGCAAAACACTGTCGAGATGGGAGCGAGCGATGAAGTAAGACCCAATAGCCTTCTGATGATGATCTGAATGATCATCTCCGTCTACTTCCCTGGCCAGGGCAAGCTGCAATGTCTCAATATCTACCAAGAGGTTTCGAACATGGTTTACACATGTCGCAAGTGTTTCAGGATTGATCGCGGAGCTGATGGATGAAGCAGCCTTGAAAAGATCAGAAGGCGAAACAAATCCATCACCCTCTTGTAGGGACCGCTCGTCATCATTCACAGCGGTACCATCATCGCTTATACTGAAGCTTCTCCGCGACTTCTCGTATTTTTCGGCTGCTTCTTTCGCGATTTTCCTCAATTGTATGATCTCTTTTCGTTGTTCTGCTTCGGCCTCGTAGCTGAGCTTGTTTGACGAAACTTGCTGGGCAAATATGAGTACCTGCATCAACAACTGCAATGTACTCTTAAGTTTGTCGATCTGACTTCGTAGGAGTTCGATCTTGTTATCCCGGAAAGGTAACATAAATCGACCCATCTTTCCTGATTTGGTCTTGTCGACTATCACCTTGATCTCTGTAAACACCGTATCGCACTCTTTGATCGTTTCCTTCGCCGTTATAATTGCATTTCCCGAAATCAGGTTTGCCGTCTTGTTTTGTTCAAAAATGCCCCCCAGCTCTTGGATAACGAAGCTTGTAAGTTTGACTTCGTTCGCGATATTCTTGATTCTTCGATCGGCAGTAGCCACCCCATCAGCATATTGGTACAGCGCCGATGACAATTTCAGACCTGCATCGGCCAATTGCACGACGCTGGCGACCAGACCTATTATCTCTGCCATGATTGAACTGCATGTAGTTATAGAGTGATATGGTTTTCAAGAATAGGAGAAGCGTTTAATCATGGCCACAAGAGTGTTGAGATGCTTTTCGAAACTTGGTGGCCATGATGAGATTATAATGCTCAGCCCCACTAACTACCTCGAGCTAAGCCGAGCGGCTGAGCTTAAGGCTGAGTGCGGGGGGCAGCACCTCAAGGCTGCTCGTACACCTTTCACTATGAGGAAGCGGTATATCTCAGAATATGAGCAAGTGTCGATTGAATGCTTCTGCCGTGTACTAGTAAATGCCAAATCCTCACACGTCCCAGATTGGTCCGGATGGCCTAGCTGCGCGAAGCATAGCGCAGACCGAAAACTTGGATAGCTCGCTGGCAGGGTTCCCTCCATCATCATTGAGCGTCAACATCCATGCCTGTCAGCCGTCCCTCCACTGATCGCCGCGCGATGGCTATCCCCCATTGGGTGCCACACCTGCCCTGCGCCACAGAACTACGGTATGATATCATGGGGTCTTCAGCGGGCAGAGAAGCCTTGCTTCGGGTTTCGTCCTCGATACAAAGGCTTCCCCGCTACTGATACGATGCATCTCTAGACACACTCACATATTGATTGGGATCTCTTCAGTATTTTCTTATTCCAGGACCAAAAGCTCCGATCATAGTTCTTTGGACCAATTCTTCGCGTGTGCATCGTATCCGGGTCCGTTCCTCAAACCGAATCTGGGTATACCGCTGGCAATGGATGACGGTTTCCGACAGCCTGCCAAACTTCAAAAGCGAAAGAGTCGCGAACGACAAGAGCTTGAGCAGATGACAGGAGGCCTGAGTGGTCAACCAGCAGCTAACTCCTCGCAACCTATGTCTGGCTCCGAGAACATGACGTCCGCCGAGAAGGAAAAGCGATCAAAATGGCGCATGTCCAATCCGTTCTCTTCCAAAGAGAAGGCATCGAAGGATAGTCTGAACCACACTCACAAGGAAGAAGAAAAGGAAAAGGCCCGTAGGGATGCCGACTCGGCATATTTCAGTAGCGAGCGCAGCAGCGCAGATCCAAGCTTCGCGAACCAAGCTCGTCCCGTCTCCGGTGAACAGTACCACCACCCACCTGCCACGAACAATCAAGCACCTCCTGCTCAAATTACACCACAAAACGCACAGAACCATAATACCCTTGCGCCTCCACAACAGACTCAACAAACACTCCAAAGTCGTTCAAGCCATGAGGATGTGGGCAGGGAGACGTACCGCGATGCCGGCACTGGGAACATCGTCACAGTCACAACGACCACGACAACGACAACAACCACTACGACAGGCCCAGGCGGCTCCACCACCGTAGAGCAGCCCCGCGACAGTGTTACTGGCTCTGCACAAAGCGTGCACACTTCTGGTCCCAGCCCACCACAGCCGGCACCTCCTCAGCCCGACAACCACTACCATCAAGGGCCAGGCCTATCAGCACAATCTGCCATACCTCAGAACATAACCCCGCCAGTACCTATGCACAATAACCAGCAAGGCAACAGACTGTCTCCACAAGTCTCCAACATCGAGGGTTCTTCGTCTCCGCCCATTCCCGCGAAGAACAATATTCGGCATAGAGTAGAGCTGGACTCGGTATCGCCTGGTGTTCAGCGGCCAAACCCGATGGAGGAAGTTGTCAGCCCAGTTGCTCCTAGCAGTCCGAATCGAGCGAACTTCTCATATCCCGCGAGAGCACCGCCTCAAGGAGTTCCACGGCAAGTGCCTGTTGACGGTATGCCACCACAGCAACAGCAGGCAGGCGTACCGCCTGTACCTCCAGTACCGGGACAACAGCAACAACGGCGATCAAGTATCCCTCAGCTACCCGCGCACCAGCAACAGCAATCTGGTATGCCGCCGCCCATGCCTAGCCAGCAGCCGTCGAGTATACCCCCTAGCCTACAGTCTGGCATCAATTCCAACCCAAACAACGACCCAAACCGTCCGGTCCCATACCGAGCCGGTCATGATTTGAACAAGCAGAGCACAATGGCAAACCTCAAAGCGGCGGCAGCAGGTATCCATGTAAGTCCTTCAAACCGCTTAGCCACTCACACAAAGACATACTAATACCATACCTCAGGGCGCGGGAGAAACCCTCCGCGGAACATTCAACGACACATTCGACCGTCGCAACCCCGCCGCCCACGCAAAAAACCAAGCCGTAATCGACAAAGGCCGATCGGAAATCGAAACCGCACGCGCCCGCCAATACGCAAACCAACAACAGCAGCCACATATGGCGGACCAAACACCAGTGCAGCACCAGCAACAACAAGCACCTATAATCGGAGCTGCACCGCCACCTCCTTCCCAGCCAAGTATAGGACCATCTGCGGTGCCAGGAAAGACGGCGTACCAGGGGCCACCAGTCTCTGGATCACAAATTGAAGGAGGAGGAAGAAGTGGTGGAGGCTCGAAATTGAGCAATATTATGAAGAAGATGAAGGAGGGCCCAACTCCGCGTCAGGATGGGACTGCGCACCACTAAAATCTCTTAAGTGGGTATACTGTATTATAGCTAGGTAACGGGATTTATAGGTTGTTACAAGCATCGGCGTATGAAAAATGAACATGCCACGTGGAATAGATCATCATGTATAGCGCGATGAATACGCGTGACATGACTTGAGATTGATTCATTCAATCTTTCTAAGTAATCGAGTCGAGTTCAACTAACATGCGGAGGCATCTGGTAACGTCACAAATGCTCAACATATAGAAAAGAGAAGTTCAGTATTATGATTCATTCATTGAGTATATTTTACATGCTCATAAAGTCGTAAGATACATCGTCCGCGACAAGTCAGGGAAGTAAATGCTTAACCGTTGACGATAGTACCACCGTTGGCGTGGATAGTCTGACCGCTAATAGAGCTGCTGTCGTTGCTAGCCAGGAAGACGAAGCAAGTAGCAATCTCGCTAGGTTGCGACGGCCTGCCAATAGGAGCGGTGAACTGCTTGATGGCTTCGTCGTTCATGGTGGCAGGGATGAGAGGAGTCCAGACAGGACCCGGGGCGACAGCGTTTACGCGGATACCCCGTCCGACGTACTGGTTTGATAGACCTCGGGTAAAAGCAACAATGGCGCCCTTGGTTGAGGTGTAGTCGAGAAGATCTGGACGACCGACGTAGGCGTTGATGGAGGCGTTGTTGATGATAGTTGCGCCGCGCTTCATGTGTGGTAGGGCGTATTTCGAAAGGTAGAAGAAGGGGTGGATGTTGGTGTCGAATGTGTGCAGCCATTGCTCCCTATGTGTTGTTAGAAAATTTCTTAGATGAAACCTGGGGTTGATACTTACTCAGACAGGTCGCTGATGTCGTTTACCATCATCTGGTAAGCGTGGTTGTTGATCAGGATGTCAATGCCACCCATCTGCTTGACGGCCTCATCGATGACCTTCTGGCAGTTCGCCTTCTCTTTCAGGTTGATTGCAAGAGTATAGCACTTCTGTCCCTTCTCCTCAACCATCTTCTTGGTATCTTGTGCGTCCTGCTCCTCTTCGGGGAGGTAGGCGATGAAGCTGTCGGCGCCCTCCATGGCGAAGAGAACAGCGATCGAGCGACCAATACCGGAGTCTCCACCGGTGATGATGGCGCGCTTGCCCTTGAGCTTGCCAGCAGCCTTGTACTTTTCAGCACCTCCCTCGGGTGTGGGAAGCTCATCGACCTTGGGGAGAGGGTCGAGTTTGGACTCGAGACCGGGGGCCTTCTGATGCTGAACATCGGGCTGGAAGCCTGTCACATTGGATTAGCAGGAACACATGGAAAGAAGCTTGGTGTGTATTTACCCTGCTCGAACTGGCCCTTGCTAGAAGACATGATGCGTGATTGTTGTATGGGTATCTCGGAATTAGTAAAGAGTTTATAAGACAGAGAGATTGAGCACAATTGTGTGGTTTAAGGTAGAGTTGGTGAAGTTGTCCTGGCCATCGTGGCTCGAGGTGGAACTTTTATTGACGTTCATGATTTCTTGTGACATCACAAGGCTGTCACGGCACGCTCATGTGCGAGAGTGGAGCCCAATGTGGTAGGAGAGTTAGGCGGAACATCAGAGAATGCGGTGCTAAGTTGTCCATCGACGATAGAATAGCATCGGTCGATGTATCGATGCTGGCACGAACTGGTGGGAACGGCTAACGTCGCTTCAGCCTTACCCGTAGCCTCAACACGCTCTTTCGCACGGCCTTGCGATCGACACATATATCCTCTTGAGTGTACAAGTAGCTTGAGCTGAGACGAAGATTGAAGCTGCATCTCGGATTACTTACGAAAGTCACTCGGGGCAACTTCTGTAGCAACCCCACCAAGCTTCTCGGTCGCGACGTCATCGAGTTGATCAGACCTACAACACCTCCACCAACTTCACATCGTTCGGAAGGGCCAGAACCAATGTCGATGGATTCAACATTCCATTCTCGTCAGATTTCATCTCCACCAGCCCCTTGGCGCTGTTGTTGCAGTCCTCACAATCCTGCGATGACGCTCATAAAGCTATTCAGAGGTATGACGTACCCCTGCGCTAAAATCAGGGTCCAGACACAACGCGCTATGACCGCATCCAGCCTCGCCCTTTCACTTCGATCCTAAGACCCTAGCACCAACGGCCATCGTAACTCGCTCTTACATTGAGTGAGCCACACCAAAGCCGTTAGAGAATGTTAGGGCACGTCATGCGCCACGACTCATGCGTCAGGGTACAATCTTGCACGGGTCCCTGCATGACGTTAGATAGTCGATCGCAGCCCTATACAGGGTGCTGGGCAAGGTAGAACTTGATTTCAGGGACTTGGAGAGGATCAGATCGAAAGCACTGGGCATTGTGCCTTGAAGTATAAGATGGAAGTTATAGCACGCTTTGTGAATTCACATATCAACACCAACTATCAATCACAAGCAATCGATCCTAAGAACTTTCAACCCTACATCCAACTCATCAATACCTCAATCAACCTAATCCTACCAAAACCAACTTAAGCAATCATGCCTCTCGCCCGCCGCCACGCTCCCCGCACTGCCGTGCGCACCTCACCACGCACTACACGTGCAGCGCGCCCTTCCCTTAAGACCCGCCTTCTTGGTGGAAACCGTCGCACACACACTAAGCGCACAGGCGGCACCACCGTTACCACTACTACAACCACCAGGACGACTCGCACTGGTGGTCATCACGGTCACGCTACTACTGCCGCTCCCGTCCATCACCATAAGCGCCATGCCACTATGGGTGACAAGGTCAGTGGAGCGTTGATGAAGCTACGGGGTTCTTTGACGCGCAGACCCGGTCTCAAGGTAAGCAACTGTCATTCATAATACACTGTGCTTTACTAACAATACATAGGCTGCTGGCACTCGCCGCATGCATGGCACTGACGGCCGGAACGCCCGCCGTGTGTACTAAGCATATTGGACTGGAGTAATGAAACCGTTTCCTTTGTTATTGGCGCTACGATAAGTGTACGATAGGCCTGGAGATACCCGATGTTGTGAGCGTTTAGTATTTAATGAATCACATGAAGTTCATATTGTTCGTCCTGGATTTGACTCCAATGCACTAAATACTGCACATTGTATTTCGTGATTGACAGCTCCAGTAAAGGCCACCCACTCGGCTCGATACAGGCCAAAGAGACTGCATAATCTTTCTCCCAACCACCCCATGAGTCTCATCCGAACAGATTCAGATAGGAAAGTGAACAAGATGTGGTTCAGATGCTCTGCTGTATTCACCCGTCTTGAGACACTTACTCCTCCTCAGGTGCGCGGTAGCCGTCAGGACCGCGGAGAATCTTCTCGCGCATGTCCGGTCGGCCGAGCCATGAGATGTACCACGTAGGCTGTCCATGCTTGATGCGGCACTGCGTGTCCCAGCGACCTCCCACAGGCTGATTGTGCGTCTCATACTCCTCGTCCAAGTTGTCTCCACGAGGCTTGCTGCGATCCATACAGTCAAGGCACATGCCGTTGAAGTATCCAAGTGTGTTAGAAATAGCCTTGAGGACGATGGTCTCCCAGTCGATGCTACGGCAGCGATTGCATTTTGGAGTATACGCGTAATCGAAGGCCTTGAGGCGACGCACGACCTGGCCGATGCTGGAGTAGTTGAGGACGTCGTCGACTGGCCACGCATCGCACTTGGTGAGGGCAAGCTGGTAGCGACCGATCGTAGCGTCCCAACAGGAACATAGCGAAGAATCAGAGCGAAGGATCCTACCAACGCGGGAGTACAGTGACTTGTGTAGGGAGTTACGCAGACCTCCACGGGCATGATTCAAAGGACCTATTCGTTGATATTGGTATTCAACGTTTCCCGGCTTATGCCGTTTTTACAAATGGAAGAGGGACGATAAACAAAAGAGAAACAAGGATCGAAAGATGAGAGAGACTTACCGATGAACATCCGCTCGTTAATATGAAGGTGCTTAGGACCCTTGAAACCCTTGAGTGGGCGCTCCTTGACGTGTCCGACGTGCTCGTAGGCGAGGTATTTGGTGACGCGTGCATAGCCGATAGCATGGTTGAACATGTAGCATGGGTATGCAAGAGCTTGAGCAATCGGCACAGTCAAGTTGGCCTTGACCATGTTCCTCTCATACCACTTGTTGAACCAATCACCCAAGTGTTCCTTGATGTCGCCGTCATGGTGGAAGTCCCACAGCGCAATGACTTCCCAGACGCCTAGTAGTGAAACGTCAAAGAGGCGCAATTCGTCTAAACGCTGCTCTGAAAGCTCGTGAAGATTCGCAAGCCATACTATGGCAGCCTCTTTGTTTTTGTCATCGTGTTTGGATGTGGCATCTCCGCCAAAGGTTAGCTCCGACTTGTCGTCGCTATCGTCAAGAAGCGCCCTCAAGTAGGGTGACTTTTTGCAGATGTCTGAGGCGACAAGTAAATCCGTAACGTGCTTGACGCCATCGTCCCCAACGGCACCGATGATAGTGATTGTCAAATCGGACTGCACGTAAGGTCAGTAGTCGATGAAGCACGCAGGTGGAAGCGGCATACCAAACCAGGCTCGGTTGTGAGCACGATATCTTGATCTTGAACCAGTGATACAGCTTGTCCTCTGCAGACAGTCAATCCTGGCATGGTGGGCGAATTTCTGGTGCAAGAATTGTATCTGAAAGAAAAATGGATTGAAATTAAAGTGTATACAAACACCGTAGACGGAAAGAGCAACAATTGGCGTTGCCGCTAGTGACGCGCTCCCATGTGACTGGTTGAAGCAGAGGGTAGCGACGCCCGCACTGCTCAGCTGAGAGAGCAAACAACGATGTAATGGATAGACAATTAACCCAGAGGCTGCCATGTGTTCCATCGCCGATTGGACAATAGTCAAATGATCTATGGACCATATAATGGAGATGGATACAGGTTGGAATAATGGTTTTTCAAAAGAGCCTGAGAGAAGACGAAAACGAGAAAGGCTCGATCGGCATACTTACGGGGTTTCCTCGGATACATCGTTACTTGAAGTCTGGCAACAGGCATCACAATAGCGAATCAGTATGCATCTCACCTGGTTTTCAGTCTACGAGGCAACTTATATGTCTGGAGATCAAGCAATTGAAACCTAACTCCAAAGACATTCACAACGTTTTGGATGAATACTACGACGAACTGAAAGCTGTAAACTCCTCTCATGAGTACTTTAGCGTAGAAAATGAACATCTTTGTGATTAAATGATCGGACTATTGGGAGGTTCGTGATTGACACGTTCGTATGCGCAGAAGCTTGGGTGGAAAGTTCATGGGATGGAGGGCTCGATAAGTCGGAACATGTCAGCTACCGCACTTCAGTTGCAAACACTAACATATGTTACCGAACATGGTGATGGAGATGAAGTTGAAGTGAAGTGAAGCAAGTCCCGCCGAACCACCCCCGCTAGCGCCGATGTGCAAACCATGCAAACATCACCACCGGCATATCGACTGATCTCATACACCCATCTCCAAACCCACCGAATTGCGATTCCACAACAACACAATGCCTCCTCCACGGCTCTCTCCAGCATTACTCCGAGCGCGGCCGCAAGCAAATTACCAAAGTCTCCGCCGCATAGCACCTTTCCGCCGCGCATCAACCACACCATCACAAAATGACATAAAACCCGTCGTGCCCTGGAAAACACCAACAAGTGTGTGGTCGCCCGAGAACCTCATCCCCCCTCCCAAAGATGGCGAGGTACTACTGGAGCGCCGACCAAACCGCGCATTACCACCGTACGTTCGCCCAAAACCTTCTGCCACGAATCTGCCTACCATCTCGATGTGAACATACTAACAACAACCTCTAGAGTACCACCTTTAATCTCCCCGCAAGTCATAAAAACCCTCCCGCTCTTCATAATCGCTATGACAATCTCCCTCTTCGCCTTCTTCAACTACCAAAAGCAAGAATCCTCCGTCGTAACTGCAACCCTTTACGCGCTGCGCACAAACCCCATGGTCCGCGAACAACTCGGCGACGAGATCTACTTTGCGAGTAAATATCCTTGGATCAAGGGCGAAATCAACCAGCTTCATGGGCGCATTGATGTTAGCTTCTGGGTCAAGGGGACAAAGAGGGCGGGAGAGGTTAAGCTCAGGTGTAGGAGGAGGGGTCGGGGCGGGTTGTACTATACGCAGGAGTATAGTTTGACCATGGAAGATGGGACGAAGATGGAGCTTTATGATCCGGAGGGAAATGCCATTGATCCGTTCCAGGCTATTGCTGTGGAGGAGTAGGGCGGTAGATGGAGTAGAGAGATGTTGTGGCTATTTTGAGGAGAGTGGCAGGACTGGTCTGGAAAGTATGAGAATACTCGAGAGATCATAGAAGTAAGAGCTGGCGGCTCAGCACCTTCTAGCCATTAGCAGAGACTTCGACATGGCAGCAAATGAAGAAGATTCAGCCGATCTTATCGCTGTGTAACATATGTAAGTATATACGCGCATCACACGCCACCAGAAGGCAACGAGAACCAAGTCATAGATGGCAATACTAGACATTGCTAAAGGTGTGTATGTAGTAGCAGTAGGAAAAAGAAAACCGAAAAGAAAGTAGCGCTTCCAGTGAAGGACAGCTCGCTCGACAGATTTAGTCACTCTGGAGCGTATATGATTGTGGTCCCAATGTGTAAACGCCAATGCCGTATGTAGCAATATGCTGATGCAACAGACAAGGAAAAAGAAAGTGGTATCATAGTAATCGTACTCCTCCGCCGTCAACTGCTCTGCTCACCCCCATGGCTCGACAGGCCCATCTAGATCTTGTCATAGTCTGCCTCAGGCCTCCTTACGCTAGGATGATGCGCAAGGTTTGGCTTGACAAGGTGTGCAAATTGTGGGTTAACGTTCAAAGGGTAGCTAATCTCAGGCATACGTGCCGTCTCTTCCTCTTGCTCCTCGCGTTGTCGCTGCCAGAACTTCTTCCTCGCCGGCTCGCCGGATGTGGTACGCGAGTAGATGGAGCTTGATGGGCGATGCGAGAAGAAGCTGGGCTTAGCAGGTGATTGACTGTGGTAGGAGGGTAGGAAGGATTGGCGAGCTGTTCGGAAAGCGCGGAGGGGGCTGAAGTCGAACTGGGAGAGGCGGTTGGGGTCTTCTTTGTTAGGAGAAGCGACTTGAGGTGAGCCACAGTCAACTGGTGGGGTACCCATTCGCATGGGTGGTGTGCCGCCGTGGACGTTGGTTCGAGAGGAGGTGCTTCCAGTGTGGTGGGTGCTGATAGTGAAGGCCTTGTGTTTGGGGTCGTACTGAGATTGGGTCTCGATGTCCTCGTGAAGCGTCATGGCTCCTCTCGAGCGTACCATGCGAGCAGTGATCCTTCGGGACTTATCGCGGAAGACGAAACTGGCGACGACGTTGAAGAAGCCAATGACAATGGCTAGGATACCCGAAGCAACAAGCAGGCGCCAGAAAGGCAGAGTGAGCGACTTCTGGCTCGTGGCCTCCTTGTTCATGTTACCGAGCATGTTGAGTCCGACTACCATCATCGCACAACCCAAAGTGACAAAGCCATGAGATGGACTGAGCAGCGGCCAGTTGCGGGCGTAGAAATTGCGGAACAATGAGCATTCTGAGACGATGAAGAATATTCCAGCAATCGCAGTAATGACATGGCTTGTAGCGTCGAAGAAGAAAAACTGCTATATGTAAGCTTCTGCGAATCTCTGGAGCCGGCTCTTGAACGTACCTTGGAGATGATGAACGTCTTCACCAGCATGACCACGCTGCTAGCGACCACTGAAGCGAGGGCAATAATGTTCAGACCTCGCAAGACGTTAAGGATAATGTAGCCTGGACCAGCCAGATGTTCGGCTGAAAGGAGCGCCATTTCGATTGTGCAGAGAGAATTGTAGGATGTTGAAGAGCTCGGATTTGTAGAAAGATGCAGTTGGTCTGTCCAGCAGTCGAGAGAAGCGCGTCAAGCGTAGGATGGAGAAAGAGAGTGTATGGATTGAAGAAGTTAAGTTTACGAAGATAAAGTAGAGGGAGTATCCCACGCCGTCAAGGCAGCACGCCTTCAACAACGGCAACAATAACGAACAATAGAGACTGAAGATGAAGGATGAGAAGCAAAATCCGAAGTGAAGGAGGAAACCTCAGGACAAAACTCGCCGCTAGCGCGACCTGTCATTGTCGCGAACCTTACAATAGCTAAAATAAGGCCCCTCGCGCTGGGTAGTCTCGTCGCCTCACCTACGAGTGGCCCAAATGACTCCAGTAACGGTAGTCGCGCCAGTACTACCGGCGCATGTGAAACGCTCTCCGCTAGATCCGGCGGGATGTGCAGAACCAGAGCGGCCCAGTCAATCATCTCTCAGCTGGTGAGTTCGGCAGCGAAATTGTCGCAGAGCAAGGTACAGGGTCGACGTGGGGTTTTGGCATCCAGCCGGTGAGGCGAGGTTTGGTCGAGATGTGGCAGTCGCGTAATGATTGGTATTGAGGCCTTGAAACGCGCCCGCGTAGCCGCAAGGGTCGTGTTTCAGGCCTAGAAACATCCGCACAACGTGGGCCGCACGATCTGCGGGCGGCAAGACACGAGCGGGTCTTCAGTCGTTAGCATTGCAGCCCTCCAATGCAAGGCGCCACAGTCTGGAAGTCTTTGTTTTGGGGTGCCTGCAGTGGAGATGGAAGGCGCGAAACTGGCGGGTACACAGGGCGCCAAGCGAGGACAGCTGGTGAGGGTCTGTCAGCGACGGAACTTTAATCGAAGATTACTCCACCCGTTCAATCTTGATCAAACCATGATCGGCTTCCAGAGTCCTTAAGAAGGCTCGGACATTTGTCTGCTAATCAATTCGAAGTGCAAAAGCATTACTTAGGCCCAGTCAGCGAACGTTATAACATTGTCATGTCGTAATTCATGTACGATAGGGTATAGTGCTACAAAACATCGAAAAAAACAACCTTGCACCCCCGAAGAACTCCGCTCATCTGATCGTAAGTTCGCTTCCAAACGCTTTGCCAACTCGATATACTTGCCGCGGCCGAGGCAGTCGGCCATTCACCAATGTGCCGTCTCGGAAAGCCAGCTCCTTGCCGTCGTTCATAGGGATAGCATTACTCGGCAGATTAAAGACCTGTAACAAAGATCGGTTCTCACCACATTCGTTCATGGCGGCGGAATCTTGTTCACCCATCGACCTCCCTGTCATGGAGTTGGGCTTCCATGCCCCGTCACTCTGGTCATGAATATCCTGCCGCCCATATCTTCGCACGTGTGCCAGACGATGGACTGAGCCGAAGAACTGTTTCCGTTTCGGCCTCGTTTTGATCTCTGCAATCTTTGCAGCTTTTTCTTCTGCGGTCATGGTCTCGATTGTAGGCGTTACAGTGCGCGGATAGATACTGCGTAAGCTCGTTCCACGTTTGGTCTCCAAATCATCAGAAAGCGTAACATTCGGACGAGACGCAACAGTGCGCTCGAATGGGTGAAACAAGTCGTCATAATTTGAAGTAATCTTGACTTTGTCTGCGTCGGCATCCTGAACCCTGGGTCCGAAGACCGACGGGGCTGATGGTGACTTTTCACCGTCGAGATTGGCTGCTGACGTGTCGATTTCAACAGGCTCGATCGCAGGCGCTGAAACAGGGTCGTGGGAAAGTGTTCCCTCAAGAACCAGAGGTAGTAGAGTAGAGCCGTGGGCCGTAACATTCCGGCGACTTGGTGCACTCTTGATAGCTTTTGAAGCAGTTCTCTCGGTCTGAGCAGGTGGTCTAATCTGGACATGTTGCTGTTGGCTAACAGCATCTGCTCCGTGCTGTTGTCGTACGCTCTTTCTGGCCTTATATTTACTACCCTGAGATCCTGATACTGGGATTGTTTGAAGGTAGCCTCGATATTGTTTCTCGTACTTTGCTCTAAGAGCTGCACTGGCGAAGCTGTACAAAACTGGTTGGCGCGGAGACCTCACGCCATGGATTTCAGGTAGAAGAGAAAGCACAGACTTGATAGTCTTCTCCCAACCACCCTGACCCTTTTGCAAGTGAGGAAATTCTGAAGCCAACCAGTCGATGACCTGCAAGGCAGTCAAACCTGTGCCCTTCGCACATACCAGTGCTATCCTGGCCAAATCGCGATTGTTGAGACGTTCGTTAAGTGTCGGCGAACCTGTGCTTGCCGGAGTCGGGCTCACTGAGACGCTTAGGACTGGGGGAACAGGGACACCTTCTGTCATTCCTCTCGACTCTAATGCTGTTGGTGCTTGTTCTTCTGCAGATAATATAGGAACAACTCGATCCGTCGTACGTTCAGCACAAGGTTGCTGGGGTATAACATCTAAGCTCAATTCGAGAGGCCCAACGACAACGGCTGCTGGCTTTCGAGGTTCACTGTCTACCAGTATATCTGATTTGCCGGGTGAAGTGTCATTGGCGGTGTCAGGCTCATGGGTCCTCGAGGGTTCATCATGGTTCGAGTTATCAGTAGATGGAGTACAGTTCTCACGTTGCATATCGACTTGCGGCAATGGATCGTTGTCGCAAACTTGATCCCTTTGCAATACCTGCTCCACTTCTAGAGTAGTCTTCTGTTCACTGATATCAGCAATTGGGCGCATTTCCATGGGCGTGCTTTGCTCAAGAGAGGTCTCATGAGATGTGGATGCGGTATCCGTAGCTTGGATGTCTGCGGCAGATTTACAGGACAGTTCGTTATCACGAACCTTCTTGACTTCCGGTAAGACGTACACTTGTTCTGGATCGAACCAGGACAAAGGGCTCGCCTTGACCGTTGGCAAGTCAGGCTCAGCTTCTGATCTGGCTGAGTTTTGTACTGAACAAGCCATACTCGATACAGGATCATCCACGGTCGGAGCTGCAATATGAGCAGTCAAACTTGCCGAGCTCGATGGCAAGAGTGATGGCTTACGAATAGTGTTGATGTCCGGAGTCTCGGGTATCTCTAGCCTTCCTGTCTCAGCGAAACGTGTGCTGATTCGACAGCTAGAACACTGAACACCAATCTCCGCAGACTTGGCCAAAACACCCTGCTTTTGACAAGTCGAACAAAGAGTCATTGAAGGAGTGGACATTACGACGTGAACTGAGGTGTCCAGAGGCAAGGCATTTTCATCATCTTGCGTATGGAGGGACTGTTGGGAGATCTGATCTCTGCGAAGGTGTCTGAATGATTTCTCAGGTATGGAGCTGTCAGTCTGACTCGAGCCTTGTGATGGTGTGTTGGGGATCTCCGTGCGCTTGATCGGCTTTGGTACAGGCGGTTGAGAGGGACCAGGGGCCTTCTTAGGTTTGATAAGTTTGTCAGCAGTGGTGGCTTTTGTAGTAAGTCGAGCAGGCTCAGGTTCAACATGCGTGTCGGACTTGTTCTCGAGAAGACGATTTGACGACGCAGTACGTGGAGCTGGTTGAGCATATCTTGGCTTAAATATGTCTCTCACTATAGAGTGGCTGGTTGACGCCGGTACCGAAAATAGGCTGAGATTCTTGCGCGCTCCACTATCGCTCAAACACAAGGAGCATCTCCAGTTTTGCCTGTCATTGTCAGTCTCTACCAATGATGATCGAACGCGTGCCTTACGGATCGATTCCAGAAGAGAGTGGAGGCTTTCGACAGCTATCATGGTAAGTTCTGGAGCATTCCGAACACGAAACAATTGGGTTGAAACTTGTGGCACTACTCTTCTCGCAAATCCGACATGCAGGTTTACCCAATGTGCCTGATTTTGAAGGTTTTCTCTCACGAGATGTAAGGCTACTTTCTGAATTTTGGTGCGTATTCCGATTATCATGCCTACGTAGGGCAGGTGGTGCTGGGAATGACTTCGATACCGAAACCGTATCTGGCTTTCGCTTACTTGATGCGGCAGAGGCAGTTTCGGTGTGTTCACTGAAGCTAGAGGCACATGTCAGCGTGGCCAAACATTACTTTGGACCTCACCATACCTGTGCCTGAGTGCATTAGAGCTAGTTGGCACATGTGCTTTTCGATTTGTGGAAAGTGGGCCACGTGTCTCCAAGTTGAACTTATCGTATGTTGTACGTTGACGCTTTAGTGGAGGCGGTGATATCGAACCCTTCTGGCGTGGTTGCACATGGCTCTCGCGCACATTACGAGGCTTTTCGGGGGCTTTCTTGATACTAACATTGGGCCGACCATGATGTGGCAACTTCCCATGACTATGAAAGGGTGCCCGTCGTTTGCTGTCATGGTCGTTCATCTGGAATGTTGTGTGAAAGGAAGAGGTGACACCTGGGATAGTACGTGCGTGTTAGCGCATGCTTCATAATTGTTTTCGAGTAAGTCAAGTGGTGATGAAGGAGATGAATCAGCTCTTTTCAGTTTGTTGTTATACGGCAGCATTTCGCAGCACTGGAGGCTTCCGCTTTGCTTCTTCGGCGGGCAGGCGCATGCAAGTAGTAACTCCCGCGACGTGCCAGGACACGCAGTAGAATCAAAGGAGAACCATCACAATGCTATGCGATCTAACCTTTTACCAGTAGTCATCATGAAAGAAAGGATACGGGTTAAGTGTCAGTATATTGCGACTTACTTGTTGTGGTTCAGTCCGCTGACTCGATACTGAAGAGAGTGAGCTTAGTCCCACAAGACGCGTCTAGAACGAGATGCCGATTGCGCGTAGCATAAGGGGAAAGACGAAGTGAGGGTGGCCTGCGTCCAGCCATGCGGACTTTGTAGTGTACCATACGTCCAAGTGAGAGGAGAAGACGAGGCTGACGGCGAACGCGGCAATGCACAGATGGGCGGCTGGTGCGGTACTGATGGCAAGAAAGAATCCAGGTTTAGCCTTGGAGGTTCGTCGCGCTATCACGTGCTGATGATCCGGTGGGGCAGGCGCATCTGGCCTCTACGGGTAAGTGCACTTGCATGTGCTCGCTGTTGAGACTCACCAACTTTATTGCAGCGCATAACTCTAAGCTGCTGTCATGGATTTCCTAAAGTCGGCGGTTGCGTCCGCGATATCAAAAGGCCCTGCATTTGGTTACACGTTTGGTGATCGGGTCGACTTGAACGACTCCATCTGGACACTGCACAACGGCACAAAGCGAGTATGGCCCGGAAGTCTGCACATGCCTAATCGCTTGCTAACCCTCACTTGCTAGGAAGACGGCTCTAAATGTAGCATTTTCTCCTTCGATATAACCGCCAACAAATCGCGATTACCCCTCGCTCGCAATGCGCTGCGCAAGCTACGAACGCTGCGTCATCCAGGGGTTGTGAAAGTCCTAGACACAGTAGAGACGGAGACTTATATCTACATTGCGACTGAGCGACTCAGCCCACTGAGCTGGCATGTCAAGAGAAAGAGCCTGACGGAAGAAACCACCAAATGGGGGCTACACAACATCGCGAAGACGCTCAAGTTCGTAAATGCCGACGCTGCGTCCATACATGGCTGCATCCGTCCGGCATCGATATTCTTTAGCGAAAGTGGCGAGTGGAAACTTGGAGGCTTCGATGCGCTGAGCTCCGTGAAGGAGGATGATTCAATACTACCGACCTATGGTGGTCTCATACCAGATGCAGGACGGTACATGGCGCCCGAGGTTTCGAAAGGAGGATGGGAGGTTGTTAAACAGAACCCGACGCACGCGGTAGATGCATACAACTTTGGTGTTCTCATCTTCGAGGTCTTCAACGGCAGCTACAACAGCAGCGAGCAGTTAGGGCAAATGAAGAGCATTCCCCCAACCATGCACCAGTCATACAAACGCCTTCTCAACCCGAATCCAAAGTCACGCATGAGCGTGGGCCAGTTCTTGGACCAGGGAAAGCGCATAGGAGGCTTCTTCCAGACGCCTTTGATCCAAGTCACGGACGATATTGAGAATCTGGGACTGAAAGCAGAGGATGAGCGAAACGAGTTGCTTGGAAAGCTTGACGCGGTCGCAGATGACTTTCCTACAGACTTCTTCAAGATGAAGGTTCTTCCCGAGCTACTCAAGTCAGTTGAGTTCGGAGGCGGAGGCGCTAAAGTCTTCGGCACTGTCATGCAGATAGGGCAGAAGCTGTCAGATGACGAGTACGAGACTCAGATTACGCCAGTTGTGGTGCGACTCTTCGGAAACCCAGACCGAGCAATACGCGTCTGCTTGCTGGACAACCTGCCGCTCATGATTGACCACTTACCCCAGAAGCTTGTCAACGACAAGATCTTCCCACAGATGGTAAGCACCATTTAGGTATCACTACCCATATGCTGACCCCACCAGGTGACTGGCTTTTCAGATATTGCGCCCGTAGTCAGGGAACAGACCGTAAAGGCTATCCTCACAGTAGTACCCAAGCTGTCGGACCGGGTAGTGAATGGTGAGCTTCTTCGCCATCTGGCAAAAACCGCGAACGACGAGCAGCCTGGCATTCGGACGAACACCACAATTTGTCTAGGCAAGATCGCGCGCAATTTGGGAGCTAGTGTACGTTCCGATATGTTCGAGATACAAAGCAGATACTGACATATGCACAGAGTCGAGCCAAGGTCCTTGCTGCTGCATTCTCTCGCTCGCTACGTGATCCGTTTGTGCACGCTCGGAATGCTGCCCTCCTGGCACTGGCCGCAACAGCCGATCTCTTTAGCGAGGATGATTGCGCAACCAAACTCCTTCCCATCATGTGTCCGTCATTGGTGGACAAGGAGAAGCTCATTCGTGATCAAGCGCAGAAGAGTGTTGACATCTACATCGCACGTATCCGCAAATTTGCCGCCACAATGCCGGATACGGTACTCCCGCCACCAGGCCTCGCGTCTGGCGGAGAATCCACTCCACGCATAGGGACTCCTGCAAATGGTACCTCGTGGACTGGTTGGGCCATATCAAGCTTCACCAATAAGCTAGCATCTACAGCTGGCGAGATGCAAGCCAGCTCAACAACCAACGGAGGAGTGGATCAAAGATCGTCTTCAGTACCGCCAGCTGTTACTACGACCAACAAACCGCCAGTTCCAATGTCGACGAAGCCAGGGATGCCCCTTCATAGCGCCAAGAGTACTGCATCTATTCCTACCATAAAGTCACCAGAACCAGCAGCGGCCTTTGATGACGAGGCAGAGGATTTCAACAATGACTGGGGTGGCTTTGCTGATGAAGAGGACAAACCACAAGAGGAAGAGGATCCATGGGGCACACCAGCCGTGTCGAAGCCAGCATCTACGACGTCATATGACGACAAAGGCGAACCGGACTTTGCTGGTTGGTTAGCAGCACAATCCAATGCGAAGAAGCCAACGAAGAATGCTCTTCCAAAGGGTCTTACTAAATCAGCAACGCCAGTAGCAAAGACGGCGAGGCCAGCGGTTGGAAGCAGATCGAGCACAACAGGAACAACGAGGAAGGTCATCGTGCCGCCAAAGAAAGAGGTCAAGAAAGAAGAACCGAAAGCCAATGAAGACGAAGAAGAAGGCTGGGGTGATGCGTGGTAGTGGTATGGTGTCTTGCAAATGATGTCGATTGTTCAGCATAGCGACGGCGTCCTTGCGATGGTTTACACCTGGTGAGTTTCAATCAGACCAGACGGAAAGTTTTAGAGCATACAATCTTAGGGATACATAATGTTACACATGATAGCGTATTCGATTTCTACGCCTTCTTCTCCTCCTTTTCTCGCTTGCCAAATGTGTAAGCTAATCCACAACCTGCGACATTGATTGCACACAGAGCAAGTGATCCTCCTCTTACTATGCCGCGAGCACTAAGCTTGTTCTTGATACCCTAGTATTCGATTAGCTTTTGCCACTGTCTAAGTATTGTTTTTGGTAGAGCAATGCAAGCATACCTGACTTCTCCGCATGGCCAACAATGCATAGAGACCACTCCATGCAGCCGTGATACCGGCAGCGTCGGTTTTGTAGTTGCTCAGATTCAGATAAGAGGAAAAGAGCAGGACGGGCGTAAACGTCATGGGGAAAAACTGGAAAGGACGCGCATGTTGGGCTGTGATCAAGGTGGCCAGGAGTGTTGGTGGTACAGAGTTCTCTACAAGGGAACAGTAAGGTTAGCAATTCTGTATGGGAATATCAAGGTCAGAATGAAACACGTGAGTAACGAGATGAAC